ATTTTACGGCTCGGCAATACCTTGACGCGTTTCTCGAGCTAACATTAATTCAGTATTACCGAGTACGAGCGGTGTTTGTCACTGTCTGGAAGAACGGAGCTGAACGTCGATGAATCATAGAGGAAACGAACTCGCCCGTTTTCAATCGTAACGTAGCCAATCGTAAAACCTGTCCCGACTAGGTTTAAGAAATCTGGAGAGAAGACGAGGGAAGAAACGACGGGGTCAACTGTGTCTAAAAGGGAGGAACGAAAAGGACGCGGCCTTTTAATTAACACCCGGCTAAGGAAACTTTCGACCGGTAATTGAATCAACAAGATTTTTTCATTTCTACTGTGCGGCGGTGGCGTTTGAAATTGCTTTCCCCTCGGCGAGGGCTACCGCGGCCACAATGAAGACCAAAAGAATTTTAATTGCAGCGCGGCGCTTTCCAAGCCACGCGAGAACGAACAAATTGTTTCCCATCGAACGTTTCCCCACTTGACGAAACGCCCGTTACCCGTATCTTTATTCTGTTCATTCTCCCCCTTTCTCTCTCTCTCTCTCTCTCTCTTTCATTCTCCTTTTTTATTCCCTGTCTTTCTTTTCACGTTAGGAAAAAGCCGTAACGTTACGTAAAATTCGACGGGGAGCAAGTGGAAGCACTTTTTCCTTTGAAACTTTCATCCACGCTTTCCTCCCTCTTCCTCTTCTCTTCTTTCCTCTCCTCTCTTTTCAAGTTCCACTCGACATCGAACATTTCCCCTATATATATCGGACAGTGGGTTTCGTGTTTTGAATAAAATACGCTAGCCGAACTATCTGTCGTCCGCATTATCTGCTTCCCCTTCTGGAAGAACGCATGTCTACTCTCTCTCTCTCTCCCTCTCTCTTTCCAGTCGGACGGCTTTATCTCCTGTCCGCTTATTAACCGCCATTTCCACTAGCTGTGTATGCACGTTTAGCGCGCGATACTACTTATACCGCACTCGCCTCGGGTAGCAGGGCGAGATAGGAGTCGTCAGGCTGGCTTCGCCGGGCTGCCCGAGACATTAACTCGATCAGTTAGCGATGTCGGACCTTTCAATCTTACGTTCACCTTTGTCCCGCGAAGAGCTCTCGCAATTGAGCAGCGAAAACTTGAGCAGAGGAAACGACGTGCGGTCTCGTTTGCCGAGGGACACTAGCGAGAAACCTCGCTCAACTTGATAAGCATTGAACTGACAGTTCAGAACTGGTAACGCAAAGACGTGGTACACGGTCAAAGATGGAATATGGAGGAGTGTGTAAATCCACCATCGATCTACCACCAGATTATGAAAATATTTCATCACGTCATAATTTCAAAATCAAATTATAAACCCTCGGATTACAAAGGATCAGTCATCAACGTGGAATTAAATTCGACGAGCTTTGTGTCAGAATGGCTTGGAAAGAAACGAGAATAATAACTCGAATAATCCACGAGCATTGAAAAATATTCGTCATTTTCGCTCTGAAATCTAACAGCGTGATTGAATTAAACATGATTAAATAGAGTTACGCGCCAACTGTCCGTGTCAGAGCAAACAAAAATTGTCACGCTGTCAGTGTACAGCGCTCGAGCGAGTGCCGGTAGACAAACAGACACGACGAACCTCCCCAACCTCTCCAAAAAAAAAAAATAGAGAGAGAAAGAGAGACCTCCGGTCCGACGCGTTCATAAAACATTTTACGCGCGATATATAAATTCCGGGGGTGAAAATTTTTCATTTTCGACGAGTCGTACGCGCGCGTACACAACGGCCAAGAGCACAACCACAGCCCCGGTGAGTATACCCGCAGCGCTGTGTCTTTTAGCTGGATCCTGTCATTTCATAGTTGGGAAAACACCCAATTTACCGTGAAAGTTTCAGCAACGCGGCAACAACTCAATTATTTTCTCTGGCCGCCGCGGAGGTGCAAAAAGCCAACCGTGAAACGTCGTCTCGCGTCATATTTAATCCCCCGTTCCAACTCGGAGACGGAGACGTCATTCCCCTTACTTTTGCATCGGCAGCATACCGTTCGTTTCGCGCGGAAAGAGAAGGAAACAAAAGCGAATGAAACCGACCAACGACGATGACGACGACCAGTTAATTTATAAACGGCTAATTAATAAACTGGCATCTTTGAGGAGAAGCGCCCGGTATCCACTGGGGACAAAGTATTCTGATTAAAATCCAGCTGATTTAAATAATCCCGCGAAACCGATTTAAATTACGGAATTGTGGAGAGTGTAAGCTGGAGAGTGAAACGAGAGATCTTGTGTAACCTGTGTTTGCCGTTTCCATCTTCTCATTATCTAGCGTTTGTTGTTACCGTCCAGCCTGTCTGTCCCACTTTCGCAGTGCTTTCGCTACGCGTTTAAATCGCATCCCCATTGAAAGCTGCATTAACGTTGCAATCACGATCGATTGATAATCGCGTTACGCGTCGCGGAAGAATAACATTTTTACGCAACGCGTATGATACAGAGATCGTAGCATTTCGTATTTACTCGTAGTAATTTCGCCGCGATATTGTTAAAATATTAGAGCGAAATCGTCGCGATTGAAGCATCAAACGTGTCAAATCGTCAAGCTGTACGGTGAAAATGCCGTGAGTATTATAATTATTTCGTTGCAGTTTAAATTGACGAAACACGTGTATAATGTTTATTCGATTTTCATCGAAAGATTTCAATATCCAGATCCACTCTGCGGACAATTAACACCGCGACTATAAAAGTGGCCAAGAAATTTTACAGACGTGGAGGCTTAAATTCACCCTTGTCAAAGTTTTCCTATTTCTTTCGCGTGAATGCCTCCGATAGAAACTTCACGCCTTAATTGTCGCCTTAGTTTTAGTTGTTAAAGCATTTCACCATCTCCTAGCGAAGACTGAGAGAACTCTCGTTTCCTCTCTCTCTCTCTCTCTCGCGTCTCCTCGCGGTCTCCTCCTCAAAAATCAAGTTACGGGAAAATTAAGAAAAGCAGCACGAGGAACAAAAATTCAGCCGAGCCGAGCTCACTCGAGCGTATCGCGCTTAACGGTTGAACACCTTTGTACAAAAAGCTATTTGTTTTCTCTTTTTTCTTTTTTTTTTTTTTTTACTTCTTTTTCATAAAATTTCGCGCCGCACGATGTGTTTCACGGGGCGCGCGATTACTATAACAACGTTGATGTCACGGCGGCTGCACCGTGAGAATCGGGGATGCCAATCGGGTTAGACGAGGGCCGAAATTCAATATTTACACTGGCAGAGAAACTCCATGGTAATCAGACCGCCGAGTAATTGGTAACGTTGCTTCTCAAAGCGAAACTTAGTGAAATTCAGGGACGCGCCTCATTGCTCTTTGTCCGGTCCCTTTCTCCTCACACTCGAAAACCGCCTCTGCCCGCAACTTTTTACTCGTCACACCGTGCCCCGGTGTAAAACCGTCGTTAATAACGTTTAGCTATCCCGCAACTTCGACCGATCGTCTCTTTTTTCGTTTCCTTTTTCCTTTTTTTTTTTTTTACTGGATCATGTTCCTCGAGCTAGTAGACGTATCGTCTTTAAAATTTCTTTTCAAGAAGTATCATCGTTCGTCGTGACGCGCACGATATATTGGTAACTTTAACCTCTTAGCTGTGAGTGACGAACATACTCGTCAGCAAGAAAATTGCAATTAAATTCTTTGCGAAGAGTGAAACAAGTTTCTTGGAATATTTCGAGACAAGATTTGACCAGCTCTTTTCACATCGTTTCTAAATATATTCTTGCCATTAATATATTACAATTGTTATTTGTTAGTATCAATTGAGTTATGATGTAACAAAATTAATTATTATGAAATTAATAACTTTTTAACAAAAAGCTAGCGTTATTTCCTTGTAATTTAATTCAATTTTACAATAGTTGCACGTAGTATAATCGTCGTTCCAGCAATGCAGGTACACACTTTTAAGAGCAGCATCACAGTTTAGCCTCCATTGATAATTCTTCTCACAATTTTCTCAAGAGACGGCATTTTTTTCCATTATTACCATCTTTTATTCTTTAGCGCACGTTATATTTTCGACTTTCGGTGTGCACTTTATCGACCGCTGTTATCGTTGAGATTCCAACTTTTATCTTCGTTGTTCGGCGTGAAAGAGGATTATTGTTAACGCGCGAGCTGATCAACCATTCGCGGGTAATAATTTGCAAAGTAGGGGAGGGCACTTGGCGCGGGCACGCGTGTGTAATTCGGCTCGTACGGCGAGAAGTGCTAATTAACTGTCTATCGTCCAGTGCTAAGTGTTCTCAAGTGTTATGATTATGAACGTATTATGACGCTACAATCGGTGGTTAACTAGCAGCGCGCGAACGCTGAAAGCACGCGAATGCACCATGAATATAAACAATCCGTGTCCGCATGCTCGCTCTGTCAGATTCTTTGATCCCCCCCTTTGTTGAAACCGCGACCGGCGTTAAATATTTCGTGCGAATGTGAAAACACCATTTCCAGAAAATACGCGCCGACAAAAATATAAATTGGACACACATCGCACAGAATTTGGAAATTTGAATGAGCCCGAACGAGTCTCGCCTCTGGCACCTTAATTTATTACTTTAATCAACTGCGTTCGTCTTATTTATCATGAAAATTCATATTATCTTCTTTTGTAATCAATCAATTTCTTTTTCTTTTTCATAAACTGCGTTCGTCGTATTTACCGTGAAATTCATATTTATTATAAAACGAATTCTTTCTGTTTTCTCTCTTTAAAACAATCTCAGATAACAGCGAACAACCCCGTGCCTCGCATCCGCTTTAAACGACGAGCGATTTGGATCAACCCACTTCTGGCCTCGATGTCTCGATTCGCGAGACAGAGACGGCAGAAAAATCGCAATCGCAATTTTCGTATGTCCGGAGAGGGGAAAGAAAAAGTCGAGAGTGGAAAGTTTACGGGTGTTTTCATTCTCGTAGTAGTATCTCCTATGGAAATAAAGTCGTAAAACTATCCGCAACATTTGCTCCACTTGCTTTCAGTTTTGGTCTGCCTACGTTCCATGCGGTGCGGCACAGTTGAATGCGGTTCAACTTTCCTTGGAACAGATCGACGTGATCCGCCGGCTCGCCGAGATGAATGCTCAACATTTAACTTTGGTTACCTCCGTCAAAGGTGAGCTTTCAAACTTCAATTCAACCATCAGTTTTTAATTGCAAACCATCGACGTGGAAAGTCCCGGCGTTGCGTTTCATTGAAAAGACCGAGAATCGGAAACAACGATTGGATTTTATTAGTTTTCTGAAACCGGGGCGAATTTTCTCCCCGTTCTATTCAACGCGAATTTTTTTCTTCTCCTTTTTCTCTTTCTCTGTTTTTCGTTTTCTCATCTGCCAATCGCCTGATTCGATTGCGAACAAAAATCGCTTTGCGCGCGAATCGAATCACGTTTCATCAGAACTCTGAGAAATCTTAAAATATTAGAAAAAAAAAAAAAAGATCTGTGGATCGAAGAGGAAATTAAAATTATTATAGCTGGAAATATCGGGACATTGGTATAAACGAAATTTATTCGGACAGTAGCCAAAACGAGATAAAATTTTTTTTTGAAACGAGCCGAATTTTCGCCGAACAATGCGCGCAACCGACTATTCCAAAAACATATGACATTTTCCAGATAAATCTAATTTCGCCAGTCGATGGAAAATGTTGTTGTAATAAAAATAACAATTGATCGTGCATTTACTCCGATAGAAAATCCATCGAAACAAATCACGTACGAATGAACGAATTGCGGTTAAAAACCGACATCGTGAAACGTTCGTGCAAAAAAAATAAATAAATAAATAAAGGTTCTTTCTAAACATAAAAAAAAAAAAATGCGATAAAGATAATTGTGCGACGTTCGGCTGTTCGAAATTATTCTTTCAAATTGCGTCGAAATTTTTCACGGGCGCGAATCCTAAGGGATCGAACGTTTGCTCGACTCAACTAGTACCGCGTGGAAATGCAAAATGCAACCGAAACTTGGCAAAGGAAAAAATGACTGAAGAAGAAAGAGTCTCGAGGAAAATTGCAACACGGAAGATCACAAGGTGTACGTAATGGTTCGGGCAATATTTATTAGGTACGATTCCCTAAGGTTGCTATAGAAATAAAAGATGCAGCTTCATGGCACTGAGAAACAGAAAAAGACCGAGACTTACGTGCCGGGAACGGTAGAGAACGTACAATGCATTGTCACGGATTTCGAAAGATTTATAACACTCTCGTATTTTACAACACGCCAGAAACTGGACTTCGTGAAATGGAACTTGGAATTCGTCGTTTGTTCAACTGCTTAATTGCATTCGTGAGACTGTTCCAACAATTTGTGGGAACGCAATGTAACGATAATAATTACCAGACGCGGGAGATTTAAAAGAAAGATATCTCTGAAGGGACAGAGAGAGGATCTTTGAAGGAAATTTATTACTTTCGAGAACGAAATTCCGAGAAACAGGAGGGCAGAGTCTCAAAGTAGAAAATTGTTTTCTACCTCTAAAATGTCACATAAAGCGCTACGCTTTGAATATTTCACACATCTTTTCTTCTATATTCTACGCGTGATTCTACGCGTCGACGCATTTCCTACGATCGAGTAAAAGTTTATTAATCAAGCTAAAGTGTCACGAGGTAACAACGAACGTGTCAATAGATTTGCGAGAGTTACGCTAATCACACGGTGCTCGAGAAAGACTCGATTCATTGAAATCGAAATGGGAACGCTTCATAAACGAGCGGTAGAATGAAAGTTTGTAGAGTTGATCTCGCCAAGTTCGCAGATGCGATGGAAATGAATAATTTTGAGGGAAACTCGGCGCGCAACAGTCAATAAGCAGTAACAAAACAGATTGTCAAGTTTAAGACGCTTGCTACCTGTTCCGCTGATAATTAGATTGCTGGAATCGCGAGTACCAACTGCGAGTAACAATGGATGCAACAGAAACGACAGAATCGGACAGGAAGTTTGCTCGTCGAGGAAACTCGAGGTGGACAAAGGAGGCCAGTATTAATTGCTCGATTTCTCTGGAGCAGTATCATTCAAGAGGAAAGTAATTATTGGCTCCAACTTGGTAACACAGTTTCACACTGTCCCGGCTTTTACCGACCGTTGGAAAAAATGTTTACTTATCGGCGGCTAGCTAATCGATGAGATTGCCTTTATGCAAATTTCACCCCGTCGCTTTCCACTCTCTCTCTCTCTCTCTCTCTCTCTCTTCCTCTCTCTCTCTCTCTCTCTCGTTCAGAGCTAACGGGTAAAACAGTATAAAAATACGATCTCGTAACTAGAGACTCGAGTTACGAGCGGAAATATTCCATTTGCTCGTTTCGATTCCATGGCAAACAATCGTCCGGCGTTTCTTGAATGCAAATTTACCAACCGCGGAAAAACAATGGGAATTTTTCACGATTAAAAGTCGGGGATAGGAGCAGTTAACACTCGCGTCGAAAAGGCACTCACAATCGATGACTGAATCGTGCAAATCCATTCTTTTTTAAATTGTTTGGTGAAATATTCCAAAAATGTTACTGACAATTATTATAATTCCGGAGCTGATTCGAAGATAAGTATTTTTCATGGGATATGTTCGGATGATGTTTGACTGGAGATCTTTTGAACGAGTGTGCGCTGACGCTTCTCTAAAACACTTTTCACACCATGTACATCAAATTGAAAATGTGGCTTCTTTCTCTCAAATTTGGCAATTTTCGCAAATTCATTTGGCTCGTTGCGGCTGGGACTCTTAAAAATTAAAAATATGGTAAAATTTTACATGATACAGCCGAGCACATTTCCTCCCTCTCTCTCTCTCTCTCTCTCTCTCTCTCTCTCTCTCTCTTTCTCTTATACAGTTTTACTCGGTCAAACAATGCGCGAGTTTCAAACTTTTAGGAACGTAAAATAATCTTCTGGCAAGGAGAGTTTGGAAATTTCACGCAGCAGGGAACGACAGAGAGAGAATGACACGGGAGAGAAGGGAAAAACGAAGGAGTCTATAACCCGCGCGAGAGAAAACTTGCAAAAGTTTTGGCGACAAGTAACCCGCGTCGGAAAGCTGTCAGCCATTTTCATAAGCTGAAGAAACTCCGCAGCAACTAGGAAACCGAATCGGGGTCGCCCCCGAAACGAACACCCAACGGAAAGTCACGAATGGAACTTTTCACTTGTCTTTTCAGCCTCTACATGCATTTCCCTTGGATTTTGCAGCAAGTCAAACAGCGACGGAGACGTAACGGGAACGTACGAGATTAAACGAAGTCGGAATATTCGTGAGAAACTTCTTAACGAGGGATTCGTCATATTTCTAACGCGAAATGTCAGCGACCGAGAGGTTGATAAATTTTTCCTTTCACAATTCAGAGATTGAAGCTTTATTCTATACGACGCGATTAGCAATTGTGCCTTGAATTGGAATTTGACGATATAAATGTTAAATATTTGATCTGAAAAATATAGGATACTTCAGTGGGAAGAATGTGAAGGTGAAATTGAAGTACCTTGGAAAAATAAATTTTTGAAAAAGAGATTCAAGAATTTATGCAGTCGTTTGTTTGACAAAACAAGAAACTCTACTTCCCACGCTAGCATAATCGGAAATGATAAAGCGGCTAAAGAAACAGCGGACTTGCCGATCCTCGATCGTTACGCCAACAGCTCCGAAATCTATATCTCTCAGCTTAAAAATGAAAGGAAACTGGAACAACAAGTGGAAATCGTCGTGTAAACCGTGGCTAACGACAAAAATCAAAAATGAATTTTTTAAAAAGACAATTGCCTTGTCTTTTGCCAAGACACGACCAAGTTGTAATCTCAAGGATCGTAACGGGTCACAAAAATACAAAACTCACCCACCAGTATCTCCTCAACAAAGAAGATCGTCAGATCGTCAGTTCAATTGACAATGAAACAAATTATTGTCCAGTGCAGAAAGCACACTACGAATAGACATCAACTAAACATAAATCCTTCCCCGACTGACAACTTAAAGGATAAAGAAGAAGCGGTTCTAAAATTGATACACTTTCCAAGATAGTCTAACCTTTATAATAAAGAGTAACCTTTGTAAGATTTAGTTCCAAGTCGTTAATAACGCGAGAGGATTGACTGTGAATAATGAGAATAAAAGGAGAAAAACTTTAGATCAAAATATCTTGAGAATAAATTTTCCCAAAGACCGAAACGCTGTTGAAGTTCAAAAAGTTTCACAGCGAAATGTTCTAACTTTCGACGAATTCTAGTGGAATTTTCTCTAACGCCAATTATTCTCATAAACAATTCGCAATCCAGCAACGTGCCAAAGATGGTTTCTGAACCATCAACTATTCCTTGCCTCTGCAAGGGAATCACCCCCGATATCCCGGATTGAATATTTCACGAAGCCACTTTTTATCACGCCGGGGGCGAGCAAAATTCTTCGAGCACTTTCGAAAAAGTGAATCTATCGCCGACGTCCCTATGGCCAGCGTGTTAGCCGTCAAATTCAAATTTTACGCCTCATTTTAAACTTTTGCGCCGCAGACTCTTGGAATTTCACCGCTCGTGCTTGAAGTTTGCCAACCTACGTCTCCAGCTTCGAACGTACTTGAACCTCGAACGGACAGTTGTATCCAGCGCTTCCGTTCAAGTTTGCAAACCGAGTTGCAAATGTCAATTTGTTATTGACACGTACATTACAAATATATATCGTATCGTCGGCCTGTAATTCCGTCGCATTCGCGGGCAACGTGAAAGCCGATAGTTCAACTATCGGTCAGATATCGTCCGCTAAACATCCAGAAGACATTCATTGAAAAATACAATGAAAACAAATTTCCTGCAAAGTGAAAAACTGAGACACCACCACGAAATTTATACAGATGCCTCGAAATCGAACGAAGAAGTGGGATATGCCATCGTTGAAAAAGAAAACAACACCTCACCTCCCACAATGATCATCTTCTCAGCAGAAGCATGTTCAAACGAACAGAATAATTTACATCGATTCTACGAGTATAACCAAAGTCTTATCAAATACAATGACATTGATGGAAACATTGCTACATTTCACACTGAATTTTCCAACTTGAACAAAAATGTAACAGTAATCTGAATAATAACGAGGCATCGTTGGAAACGAAATAAAAAAGCCTTGAGTGTCAAGGAATCATTGACTCTACCACTAAGCGAGTCACAGGCCTCTGTTCTATATCAAGAACTTACACACCATGGAAAAATCAACGTCAGGATGTTGATCAACGTATGACTTGATGACGTAATGACTTATACCAGATAGAAATTCCTTCTGGCGGAATGACCAAAAAAGAAAAATTAGAATCCATGAATACCTACTCAAGAAGACTGACCCTCTCTTCTGCAAAAATCTGTCACAACTCGACACGTATTATTTTATAGGAATGTACAAACTTTGAGTGATTCCATGGGATTAATTCGCCTTGACTTTCCAAAATCACTCCAATACTTGATGGATATAAATCTATATTACAAAATATATGTATCATAAAACTGTATTATATATTAATAATATATATAGCAATAGTAGTTTTATTATATACCAATATACCAATATTATATAATATATATAATATATAACTAATAATAATATATAGCAAGAGTAGCAATATTATATAATAATATATAGCAATAGTAGCAATATTATATAATATATATAATATATTATGGTATATATTATATATATTATATAATATTGGTATATTGGTATGTAGTTATAATATTATATAATATATATAATATATTATGGTATATATAATATATATAACTACATACCAATATACTAATATTGTATAATATATATAACTAATAATAATATATAGCAATAGTAGCAATATTATATAATATATATAATATATATAACTAATAATAATATATGGCAATAGTAGTTTTATTACATACCAATATACCAATATTATATAATATATATAACTATATACCAATAGTAATTAATTAATAATATAGACCTATAATCTCGATGTCGATGCGACTTTAAACCTGCACAAAGCAAGAGAAAGAGATTATTTGCAAAGTTGCACGGTAAGTTCCAAGGTAATTGTTTCATCTTACGTTTAATCATCTTCGTTTCTAATATCGCGAGCGACCGTAAGAGAGAATGACAGTCGCCGATAGAGTTTCGTCGGCTCGAATTCCGGCGCGTTAACGACGCGACAAACGCGGGGCAAAGGTCGCGTGCAATGTGCGGAAAAACGAGAGGAAAACACGAGGGCAAGCGCAACACCGAGTCGACGACACGAAGTCGAGCGAAGTGTAACAAACTCCTCGTTGTAAACTTCTCGCGAGTAGCTCGCTTCCAGAAAGCTGTCGGCCATTTTCATAAGCTGAAGGGGAAACTCCGGCGAGCGAGGAAACGAAACAAGACCGTGAAGGCTAAACTCTAAGGAAGTACCAGTACGACTGACGGACGTGACTCAATATACACGTAGAATCAAATACGCCGAGTTTGCTGGCCAAGATCTCATCGATCTAGCCACAGTGTACAAACAGAATCCAAACAAACGACACGCAGTTTGGAAAAATTGCGATCCGTCTCGATCTGTGTCGCTAGGGGAATTGGGAGAAATCGAGATTTCCGTAAATTTCAGTTTGCGTTTGTGTCAAGTTTGCGACTTTATTCGTGATTTTGTGCTGTTTAAAGAGTCTTGTAGAATCTGCTCTTCCGTTTTTTTTTTTTCTCTGTCGTGTCGTGAAATGTGAGGAACATTTGAAAAAAAGTCCACGTTCGACAAAGTCGATCCTCGACTTTTGTACCGATTCGGTATTTCGTACATAGTTCGTATTATACTCAAAACTTTGATTTTTTTATCGATACTTATCGCAAAAACTAGAGAAGAGTGCAATCCAACTCTGTCTCGTATGTATAATAAATAATATGCAATTATAATTTTATTATTTTATTTATTTAATAATAAATAGCATATAGTATATATACTTAATTTTTATAATTAATATTAATTTATGTAATAATATAGTATATATACTTAATTTTTATAATTAATATTAATTTATAATAATAATTATGTAAAAAAATTTTAATTTATCGTTAGGATATGAACCTAAAAGCTTATATTTATAGCTTATTATTATATATAACGTTAGATGTCTGATAAAAAAATAAAAATTTTTTAAAACATAATAATAAATATTATTTCTAATGATTGGTTAGATTTAAAATTATTATAATATTTATTAATTGTTTTTCCAAACTAAAATCCAAGTAATAGTATAAATAATATAAATAAATTATATATAAATATTTTGTCAAAATTTAATATTATATTATATATAATATACAATAAATTTGTAAAGAAAACACTAGTCACCAATCAATAAAGTGTCATTTATTACTTTGCTAGAAAATAAATGTTTTAAAAACACTTTTCGATGTTTTCTTTCTTTTACATTGCTCTATTTTACATTTCAACTTTCGTACACATTTCAGGAACCAATTAGGTACGAAAACGGTGGAGTTCCCCTTTCAGGGGAGTTGGAGATCTTTCGCGAATATCTTCGCCATGTAAACTCTGACAATTTCTTTTTTTCGCGAACGTGTCATCGATTTTTTTCTCTTCTCGAAGCAACAGCTACTTGGAATCGAAAGAAATTGAAAGCAATTGTCTGCGCAATTCTTTCGGCACGTCGGTCTTTGTCCCTGCCTCGAAAAATTTGAAAAGTTTCGAAGCTCCGTTCCATTATTCAAACTTCGCGCAAACGTAACGTGTAATCTGTTCGCGAGTTTCGAAGAGGAGGCATATCACAATAACACAGTGGAAAAATAATGAACTTTCTTCGTCGCTCGGTGTGCAAACGCAATTCACGAGGAGAAGCCAAGCTACCAAGATCTGCAACCGCTGAAACGGACGAGCACGGCGAATGACTCCGGTACTTACGTATTCTTCACTCGATTTGAATAATCTAGTATCAGAACTCTGCTCTCGTTCGACTGGTACCTTGATTTCTGATCAAGTCTACGACGATTGGAATTTCTCTATGCAAATCCCGACCAACTTCCCTCCTCTTTCGGCTTCTTCCGAACAACATTGAGAGACGAAAGGATGGAAATCATTTCATCGTTAATGCACGGCGACAAGATACGAGAGATCGAATTCGAAAGAATTGCTTGGAGCATAGAGGAGGAGCGTGTCAGGCTTGAAAACGCGCCGACTACGCAAGTCCAATATTGATAAATCGATAGACCGCTAATAGTTCGTATTATTAGACAAACCAGTCAGAAGAGCACGCGTGAAGGCAAGCGCGGCTCGTAAACATGATTATTTACAAATTGTTCGTAAACGCGAGGACGATTAAAATAAAATGTCGAAAGAGAAAAAGAAGAGATACGGTCGCAAGCCAATCGAGTCATTATGATTGAGGTCAAGGTTGAGGCAAAGGTTATGGAGAGAGAAATTTCACTTTGATACCTTAGATGTTCCTGCGGTTTAAGAACACTCTCGGTTAACAGAGTGCGTTGGCGTGCGAAGCAAAGTCATAATTTTTTTGAATTTTCTGAAGCACACGCGCGTACACTCGATCGAAACCGAAAGCATAAAAAAAAAAAAAAGAAATTTTTCGCCGTTTCTCGATTCGCAGTTTCCGATCTGTTCGATATGTATGAATTGATACGTATCGCGGTCGTTAAAAAAATAGTTGAAAAAACGCGAGACGATCCCGTGGTTTTGAAATTGAAATTAAAACGAAGATAATACACGATAATAATGTCAACGATAGTAACAAGGGCAGAGCAAATGAAACGGAGTGATGTTTTTCTTTTCTTCCCGTGTTGCGTAGGTCTTATCGAGGCGCATCGAGAAGGGAAAATCGCAAGTCTCATCGGGGTGGAAGGTGGTCACTCCCTAGGGAATTCCTTGGGTGTTCTCAGGACATTTTACGGCCTGGGCGCGAGATACCTTACCTTGACGCATGCCTGCGATACTTCCTGGTGAGTACATTCCATACCACTTTCGAAACACATCCGACAGAAAAAAGTAGAAAAATAGAAAAAAAAAGAAAAGCGAGAGAATCCAGCTTGGGAAACTTGGAAACGAAGGGATTTTTCGCTTGGCAAAATCGAGATCGGGCAAATGATATTCGTTGCGATCCTACGTACGTACATACGTACGTACGTACGTACGTACGTGCGCGAATTAACAGGCAGGATCAGGGCCAGAATTGAATTATCGGTTCCGAATCACGACGTTCGGTGTGTTAAGCTTAATGAACAAGCTAAATTGGATTCCAAATTTATTGAAATAATTCAATATTCCCCGCACAGGCTACCAAAATGCCTAATGTGGTGGATTTTTAATTGTCCCATCGCCTCTCCCCCCCACCCCCTCCTCCCCCTCCTCCCCTCTCCTGCCGGTATCGTTTTCTATAATGCCAGTCCATTAATTATCTATCAAAATATATATGCTCGGCGCAGCGCGTGTCGCGATAAATCGATAATCCGTCCGAGGGGCCAGGACCTGCGAGTAATTTAATTAACAATTGAATTACAATACATGCAATTTCATATCGAAATGTTGTGTCATTGTGTTGACCGGGTGATTTAATTTAGGCCTCTATATACATACGCGCGGACAGAAACTTCTAAAATGGATAGTATACCGCAACGATATACCCTGCAATAAAGAACGGAACGATTCTAAGTGCAAAAATGAATGTAAAATGCGAAACGTATTTATATTTAAGAATACAGTCAAAAACAAAGGTTTGATATTTAGGTTTAACACTGTAAGAATCATTCGAATGAAATAATAGAGATTGCAAACTTGACTGATCGTTTCGATCGCAAAAAATTTTCAAAGCGGCGAGAGCTAGTTATTTTTATATTATTTTAGAATTATATTTGCAAAAATAAATACAAAGTACAAAACGTATTTGTATTTAAGAATACATTTAAAAACAAAGGTGATATCTAGATTTACACTGTATCTTTCGAAAGAAAATTCTTGATCCCATGAAATAATAGAAATCCACTGAAATTGACTGATGCTTTCGATCGCAAAAATTTTCAAAGCGGCGAGAGCTAGTTATTTTATATTGGCTCTGTCTGTAATTATATTTGCAAAAATAAATACAAAGTACAAGACGTATTTATATTTAAGAATACATTTAAAAAAGGTAATATTTAGATTTACACTGTATCTTTCGAAAGAAAATTCTTGATCCCATGAAATAATAGAAATCCACTGAAATTGACTGATCCTTTCGATCGCAAAAATTTTCAAAGCGGCGAGAGCTAGTTATTTTATATTGACAATGTTTGTAATTATATTTGCAAAAATAAATACAAAGTACAAAACATATTTGTATTTAAGAATACAACTAGAAACAAAGGAAATATTTAAGTTCACGCTGTAAGAAAATTCTTGGTCCCATAAAGTAATAGAAATTGCCAGTCGATCGTTTCGATGACAAAAATTTTCAAAGCGGCAACGAGTTAGTTATTTCGTATCAAGCTATTGCGTATCAATTGACTCTGTTCTTCTAATTCACTCACGTCGCTGACACATCGCTACGAAAGCAAAACGAAAAGACAGATGGGATTGTTTCGACTTGGCGAGAAAGAGGGGAAGTCTCGAAATCGTCGGCTATCGGTCCAGAAATCGCGGCACTGGCAAACATCTCTCGAGCAAAGGACCCTCTTTCCATTTCAATTAATCGGCCAGCAAAACTTCTCTCTTCGCCGTGCTACCAGCACTTTTTACCGAATCGTTCAGCTCGGCTTTGTAGAAACAGGCGAACAGTCGTGCAAGAAAAACCTATTCCATAGCCGATCAGCTCGCCGCTGAAAGAGCTCGACGCAATCTGAAACCTCGCCGCGCAGAAAATTCCCTCCGTCTCGGTGGTTTCGCTGCCAAAACAGCTACACCCGTGTCTTACGTTCCAAGAAACGGACGGTTAGAGGAACTTTGTTTCCAAAGGGACGCGAAGGAACTTTGACTCGGAACGAGACGATCGTATCGAGCCTCGATACACAGCAAATTCGATCTTTTTCGGGAAAATGTTTGTTGATTTCGCGATATATTATTTTATGTAGTCGAACAGCGATTTCTCAAATTCGATTAAATTCTTTGATAACGAATCGAATAGAATTCTTTGATTTTTTGGGTTGCAAGTCAATGTATGACGTTAGGACGTTCGATGGTTAATTCGGCACTATAGTCTGATGATTTCGCTGTTACCATGAAAATTTTAGATAGCACAGATAGAAGAGCATTGTACACTGTATCACACTGATGATGAAAAATTGATAATTTCAACTTCGTAAGAAAAAAATTATAAAGATCTGTTTCAAAGGGGCGAAAAGCTTCTTTCTTTGACAGTCGTCAAATTTTTTTTTCAAAGACAAAAATTTTTATTATTATTAACATTATATTTTAATGAATGAAAATGATTTTTCATCGTCAATTGTCGTACAAGTTACGCTCTTCTCTGCCATCAACACTCCCCCATGAAACATACGAGAAGACTCAGTCCTCGTGCTCAGAGAACGAAAATTCACGCGAAAGATTTTTTTTTTCTCGAAACGATCCTCGCTAAGCAGCATACAGAGCAAAAGACGCTTCAAAGAATTCACGGATAGCCGATTCCATTTACGAGAAGCAGAGAAATTTCTCCCGGCTACGACGCCGAGGGGGTTGGAGAAGTTTCGCGAAAAAGGGGGCTTCTCTTTTCACTCGTTGCACTTCAACGAAATTCCCGGGGATCCGCTGATCTGCGATTCAATCTCCGGAGATCTGCGCTCGCGCCAGCGTTTATAGCCAGCTCGCAACTTTCTTATTATCTTCTCTCTGTTCGCGCGAATCGCGCCGCTCGGACGTTCGTCGAGGGAAAGGGAATAAACGCGAGTTCGGCTCGAGGACGTCGATCCTCCGCGATCTGTGCTACTCTGTAAATAAAGCTCCTCTCCGATTCTATCGGGGATTCTGCCACAAAACACCGGGACGCCGATAGATAAACATTTCAAATCCTCCGGCGAGTCTCTACGAAACCGGCGAGGCTTTTTTATATGTATCTTAAGCCATGTATCTTTTTCATTTATCTTAATTCAACATTGAGGTCGCAATCATTTTTTTTTTTTTTTCTATAAAATCTATGAAACATAACGCTGTTATCCCTATGGTAATTTATTCTATTGATTTTAGATTAAAGATCAAATTATTTTCTATAATCAAAGCTTCTTTTAAAATTAAGATTCATTAAATTGAACAATTCTCCCAATTTAAATATTAATTTAAATTTTATATTAAATACAAAAATAAATTGATATTAAAAACAAGAAAATTAAATTGGCCGCGTCTCGCATGGCGTTGCCAACTTTTTTCAAATCTCGTGGCTTCCGAAGTAATTTTCAGAAATTTTTCCAAATTTTCGCAATCGTGCTTGGACAGGGAAACGAAGCAACGGAATCATCGATTGAAATCCAATGTTGTCAAAACTGTCAACTGTGGCACTGACGTAGAGTCGATCAGGAAATGATGAGAAATGATTCGCGCGGACTGAATGACCGCAGGGGGCTGAAAGTTGAAATTGTTTCCGATAGAAAAATTGAAGACTCAATAGGGCCTTCAAGAGAACGTTTTGAAATTTCATAGAAAACGAAATTCTAATATCTCCTCCTGGGTATTAACAAACTTCTCTCGGTACGATTCACAAGCACACGTCCGGCAAAAACGAACGAGATTATCTCGCCGGTTGGAACAACGGGCTGGAACAACCGGGTAAAAACCGGGATAGATAGAGAAGCGAACGGACGAACGTATCGAACGAAAGGAGGGATGGGGATAGGATAGGATAGGAGCAACGAAATAACAAGTTCCCCTTTTGGATAGCTGAATAGACTGCTATCGAGCATCAATTTTACCCAGGGACTTTAAAGCCAGTCCATCCACAACACGACCTACATACTTTCCGCGGCAAAAGCCCGCCATTAAGACGGAATAATTCCATGAGCCCTGCCACAAAGCTGGAATTTATACTCCGGGGAGTTTCGCGACCTGGGAGGAACCCCTCGCGCTGCTACATGCACACGTACACGCGTACGTATGGATGTACGTGTACATTCGTGAGCCGCGATCGTGAATGCGAAACGTACGACACGACGATGGCCGATATCGTTGCCCGTAACTAACAGTTCGAGACCAAAGTATCAGACGACAATAGACATCGACCCGATTCACGGCCCGTGCTTTTCAATCCTTGCCTACTTTACGCGTCCCTCGACGCGGCGGCCTTCTACTGGTCGTAAATAAGAGCCTCGAGAATCGGCTTGTCCTCGAACAAATCTTCCCCTCTCGGATGCAACGTATTTCTCTCGCCACGAGAGAAAGAGAGAGAGAGAGAGAGGGTGTCTAACGCGGGCAGCTACGTTGCAACGCTGCGTCGCGGATAAGGAAAAGCAGATGGATATCCATATCCGAGGAAATACGACTTCTAATGGAATTCAGAATGCGTGCGCGACGAATCACACGTGTGTGTACACATGCGTTTGGATCAGAAATAATTGAATTTGCTTCTGCCCCCTTTGTTTCGTAATGGTGCACAAAAAGATCGCGAGATCAGCAAGATAATGTTTGGGCGTTTTGAAATATTTAGATCAAGCGTGGTCCAACCATCGGCCCTTGAACCCTATTATACAGCGCTGATCCGCGCTGTATGACCAAAATTGTTTGAATCATTTCAACCACGAATGTTCACGATGTCTCTTTCGGGGAGTACTTGTATTTGCGAGCTGATTTTTCACTCGTACGAAGCACACGAAATGAAATAAAACGAGAAGAAAAGTTTTTGACGAGCATCTTGAGAATAATCCTCTTATTCCCTACTACTTGTATCAAATCAGACATTGACGAACTGTATCTGTTACAAAAAAAAAAAAAACAAGTTCAGTGTTCTCATCAAAAATTTCCATATTTTTTTCATTAATATAAATATATCTTTCTAATCGACGTGTTGTTTCGCTATAAAAGTTGTTTCAACATCCTCGCGAATAATGTAGGTTACGTTGAACTGATAAAAAAACGAAATATGTAAACTGCTTGCGGTCCTCGACAAATTTTGTTGATCAACGGGGCCCGGATGATCTAATAGATTCGACACCCATGATTCGGAGATATTTTATCCAATTCCTCACGGATACGTAAAGCGTATCAGAGATTTCACGACGTCTAATAGAGAGCGATGGGAGATTAGAATTTCTCCGTGGGAGATCCACGTTTCCCGAGCGAAGAGAAACGGAAACGCGCGCGTTGAAAAATTACCAAAGTCCCCGCGGCGCGGCGGCTTTGCGCGTTTAAGGAGAAAAGAGTTCTAACAGACATTTTCTTGGCAGGGCAGTCTGTTCAGTTGGCGAGACGAACAGTACCCAGGATTCGACGCCAGGCCTCAGCGAGTTCGGAAAGGTAAGTCAACGAACGATATCATCGTACTCGCGTGCAGCGCAGACTCTCTCTGCGTTTTGTATCTTATTTACAGCGAAGCGAATGGTATTTCGACCATTTCGAATTTTCATTGTAAAACGAGGAATTTTTCAAAAATTATATTATAAAGTCACGTATCGACATCTTGATAACATGCATAACGTTAAGGCAAATATTATTTATTAATATTTAATATTATCGTACAGTAATATATAATTCATATGACAAATTATTTAAAATACTATTTGTTATTATTTAGCAACGTAAACAATATATAATACTAGAAATATTTGGAACAAAATCTTTCATTTTAAATTAACTTCGACATCATTGAAAAATTGTTTGTTGAAAATGATACTTTAAAATTAAATTTTTTTGTTTTGTATCTGTAACGCACCTTACTCTAAACTCTAGATACTTCTCTTGATAATTGTAGTTTTTCTACCATTACGAAAATTACGAGACATACTTCAGAAGCAAATCTATTAATTGTAATAACGTGGGGCTTAAAAGGGAAAGTAATCGAAAATCGGCCCGACACAGAACGTGTTAAAAGAAGTAGGTTTCAATTGGGTAATTTTTTGTGCATTAAACATATGTCTCCGAGGAGAAGAGAAATATCGACTGTCAAAACGAAACCTCTGCCGATGGTTTCTTTCTGATAGAATTTTGTAGATTTATCGCGTCTTTTGCATCTTTGGATCTGGCAGGTTGTTCCCCTTTTAAACTGTGTCACATCGAGCACCATAAAAGTCGGAAAATCGATAAAACTGTATTTATATCTTCTTTATCCACGTATCTTCTTTCCTCCTTTTTCAACAATCGTGTCGCGCACCGCGTGATCAGAGTCTAATTGTATCAATCTCTACTCTAAATTTTTTTTGCAAACAGAAACAATTTCACAAACGCGTCACGTCGTTTGGCGATATACTTTCGTAAACATGCCTTCAACGAGCAAGCAAATCGAATCGCTCTCAATTTTAATCCCATTGAAACGAGCATCGACCACGTACTTGAACTTAGAAATTCACACGCGTGAAATCGTTCCACGGTACGATGAAAACCGCGTCAACCGAACGACCGATTGCATTAACGAGCTTATCAACGAACAAAGCAGCAGACTATGAGATAACATTTTCTTGAAAAAAGATATTCCATTTCGTTGAACATTCGAGGAACGGGAACGTTGGAAAGCGGCGCATTGAAAACAGCCAGGCCGAGCAATAATATTAAAGAACGATCGATCGATCGTCGCCGAGCGATAAACGATGTATATATATATATATACATTTATATATTTATAAGTAACCGTAATAACCTCTCGACGAGCAGAGGTAAATAATAATCAATGGAAAGCAATCAATGACAAAGCGCGCTCCATTTACGCCCGCGCTTCTTCATTCTTCCCCAAGTTATGAGCGCGTGACCCCATTTTAAATGGAATCCACGCCGCTCGGTTTCAATCGAAAGCGAGAGAAAAACCTGCCGAGCCGAATTTTCATCGGCGCGAGTCACCGACACGCCGGCGATAAAACGGAAAAACGCGAAACACCGGTGAATCTTTTTGCGAAAGGAAATGCAGCATGTTTCTTCCTCTCTTTTCTTTCCGTTTCTTTTTTATCGATCTTGCGGAATTTGCACCGGTCCCGCGGCCCGCGGGTGGGTACATAGTTGCTGTCGCGCGATAAAAGAAAAGAAAGAAAGAAAAAGAAAAAAAAAAAAAGAAAGGAAAGAGGAAGCGGACTCATAATGGAGAGCGGAGAGAATGGAAGGAGGAGGCGGAGAGGGAGAGAGAAAGAAGGAGAACGTAAATCAAATAAGCCATCTCTGCTATCTTCTCGCTATTTCCATCCCTCCTTCGCTAATCTTTCCCCTTCGAATTCCCCTCTCTTTCTCTTTTTCTCCCTTTCTTTTCTCCCTCATTTACATACACAGCAGCGTGGACCGCGGTCTCTATTGTGTTTGCATGCAAGCGCGGAACCACGTTGCCAGACACGGCTCGATTGTTGAAGCGCACCTCCCCCGGTCGAGTACATCGGGACAACGTCGCTACAAAATCGTTACTGCGGTGCCGCCGCCACCGCCGCGCAGGCTAACCCCGCGCCAGACGATTTACTACAAAATTCCACTAATCTGAGGATTTCGGAGCTATTCCCTCCGCCGGTGGTCTTGTTCTGGTCGCCTCGGTCGTCTCCTCTCTCGCGATACAGACGGGAAATAATTTCGTGACGTAACCGACGTTGCCGAAAGGATTTTCCTCGCGTTCGACCCTCCCGCCCCTCCTTCCTATCGAGTTCCAGCCGCTGCGTGACGTTACGTAAGCATAAACAGCAACCACACGAATCTTTCGCGCAAATCGAAAGGTTGTTCCTTGTTTTCGCCCAGGCGGCAGAGGAATTTTCGATTTTTCAAATTTTTCTTCGTTTTTTTTTTTTTTTTTTTTTTTTTTTTTCTTATTAGTGGCGACAATTAAGTCTCCTTCGCTATCATGGGCGACTCGATGTAAAAAGTAAGGTCGAAAAGTAGAGTAACAAGGAAGAAATAGCTGATAAATTGAGAGGAAGAAATAGCTGATAAATTGAGCAACGAGCGACGACTCGTGAATGAAAATAAAAAGTTGTTTCATCAGGTTAGTAAATAATGTACAAAAATTAGGGAATATTTCAAAATGAATATGAAGCGGTAAAAAAAAAGAAGCATCTGATTGAAAATTAAAGATTGTTTTGTTAGGTTAGTAATATACAAAAATTAGGGAATATTTCAAAATGAATATGAAACGATAAAAAAAGGAGCATTTGAACAAGAAACAACCTTCTTTGACTTGTCGCGCTTGCTTTTCTGATGTTCTTGTTTAATAAAAAAAAAAGAGTCAAATGCTTCTTTTTTTTTACTGCTTCATATTCATTTTGAAATATCCCCTAATTTTTGTGAGCAGTATAATTGTTTTCAAACGTTGTATTCACGAAAATTTGTTTCAATGTTTAATCACACGTGAAGCTAATTGGCAAAGTAGAAATGTCTCGTTTCAAGTACAAAATCATTTCTTATTAAGAAAAGTATTACGAAAGCAATATTGTTACAAGCTAAAGACCGCTTGCGAATCTAAAATTGTATACTCGTTCGTGACAAAAGCGGTCAGGAGGCCAGATCCGCAGTAGCGAAAGGATTAACCGTTTCAATGCCAGGGGCTATTTAAAAAAACCATGTTGGACAGTGACATGGCGCTTGCAACTGCGAAAAACGCCAAGCAACAAAAGTAGATTGAAAGCAAAAATTGCCTATTTACGCACGTGGTTTAGGTGTGGTTTAATTGAAAAGAAAGTAATTGGAGAAGGAAACTTGGACATCATTGACGCTACAATCGAAAGTGCATTGTAAATTGAGCATCGCGACCAAACTATGGCACTGTTCGCGATCGCGCTGCATGGCGCTAAAAAAACATCCAAGGAAACGACAATGTTAAGAGTTCGAAAAATCCGGAGTGTGTCGCTATATAAATTTGTCGGAACGTCGAGCAAAATCGAAGAAAAACGCCGGTGGGTTTTCGTCTGAAAAAAACGACGCCGAACAGACCGATACTAGAAATGGAAGAAACTGACGGCTGAAAGTCCCGAAAGCGATCGCCTTTGCGTCTACTTGCTTGTCCCGGCTCTCGCGCGAAACATGTTTCTCATTTAAATATATGTATATACACGGGACCACGTCTCCGCGCGCCCGCTGGACCAAATATGCTCCGAAGAAACGATTTCGCCTCGATGTGCACGCGTCGCTCGCGCGCCGATACCCACGATATTTCCCTCCCGTACCTTTTCCATTTCGTTCCGCGATTACCCAACGCTCGTATTGCCTATCCGCCTCTCTATTTCCCTCTGTTGCTCCGCGCGTGTCCCTTTGTAAAACGTCTCGAACGAAACAACGTCGCTGGTACCATTCGGTCGGAATGGAATTTTTCCCGCGGTAAACTGGCTGGTCCGTTCCTCGAAGGAGTACGTCGTTTGTACTCGTTGCTATCACATTATTAACGAGTTCGGCGCTCGTGTCTCCAGACAGTTTGATTCCAAAATACGCGGAACTCTGACGGGCGTAATCGATATCGCGCAAACAGCCTGCCTTCGCCGGAGAAAATGCGGAGAAAACCTCTCGTTGTAAAAAATTACGCGTGAAAATTGCAAGTTGCAGCGGGAGTCGAGTCATCCTCCGGCACGGCCTCCTCTAATAGAATCTCATTATTTACCGGCGCGGAGCGCGCGCACGTTTGAACGTTCGTTACTCGGAGGAACGAATGGCTGTGCGCGCGGAAGGGCGGCTTAAATCGATGGAAACACCTCGTCCCCGTTGTCTCTACAAAATCGCGCGTACCGCTGGAAAAACGAACGTCGCTGGGCTTCTCGTTAGAACCACGAGAGGGTGTGTTGGTAAAAAAAAAAAAAAAAGAAAAAAGAAAGAAAAAGAAACGGGGGGAAAGAGAAAAAAAAGAGGAAGAAAGGGAGAAGAAAAAAGAGAAAGCGCCCATTGTGCTCCTCCTTTTCCTTTCTCTCGTATCGACGTGCCGGTCTATGCACCGCGGCTGCTTTTTCCCTTCTATTTTCGCGCGATAGCAGAGGCGGCGGCTTGCTTACGCCATCGACTAATGTTCGCCAGTCGATGGTGAAATACCCAACTTCTTTTCTTCGTCCTCTCCGCTATTTTTCACCCTTACCCACTCGCATCCATCCCCCTCGCATCCTTCACATTCACGATCTCTGATTTTTCCTCTTCGGTTTCCATCTTCCCCTCGGATCCCTCTCCCCTGCCAACGAGAGACCTGACAACGTCTCGATGGTCTTTCCCGAGTATACCGAGAAGCTCCGATCATCTTTCTTAATCAACGCCCTACGAAATCGTACCGAATTGGGGCGAGTCGATGCACAAGTACATACGTATATATATATATATATATATTACTGGACCTTTCGGCATTTCAGAATAATTGCCAGCAAGCGGCACCCCGTCTTCTAATTGATTGCCCGAGCTAAGATTGCCCGAGCTTCCGTGCACTTCACCGCGGTATTAAGAGGCGCAAACAGATCGTATCTTTCGACTTGGTCATCGATAATTTACCCTATTGGTAAAAATCGCGATCGCTCTCCTTCTTTCCGCCGCGTCACACGTTTCATTCTCGAAAGATTCTTTCTATCGCGAGGATCGACAAAGCTAAAAAAACTAGGCACACATAGGATGGGCTAAAAGTTTCTCCCTACCTATTTTTAATATAAAACATCAAGATACAAGAATAAAACTAATTTTATTAAGTATATAATAAGAATAGATTACGAATTTATTTTTAGCCCGCCTTTTACTTTCTTTACTCCGATGTATACGTTCCCAAACGTGCGTGCTTCTTAAGTAAATAAAAATTCTTTGAACAACTTTCTATCTATCTAAAATAAAAAAGAAGGCGCTTGAGAGCAACAGCAGTGAAAAAAACCATCGACATCGAAACAACACGTTTAAAACACGACTACACTGCCGGCAGAGTTGCTAGACGCGTGCACGTATCTATATATATATATATATATATATATATATATATAACATACATATATTTTTTTTTTTTTCATTTTCACGAGCTGGCCACGATTCACAGGCGGTTGAGTCTCGGTGCGCGATAACCGGGACACTATACTGGTCTACACTATACGAGACAGAGAGGCACGCGTAGAAACGAAGAAAAAGCTTCGGCACGATGACGGGGTGGAAAATGCTGGAGCGGCGATATCATAGAGGGGGAGGGAATTGTCAGAGCAACGGAGCGCTTGTACGGTCAATGCCGCGCTCTGCGAGGTCCGTTCTTGTTAATTAAAGAGCACGGTGTACGCGTGCATTCCGCGACAGAATACACGGTCATCCGTTATGTCGGTTAATTTCTATAATGTCGGTGGCACCGGCGAATGCAAAACAGGGTGGCGCGTGGCCGCCGCTGGAAAACGAAATTCCGCTCGGCACCGAGCGAAGTTGGCGCCGCGGTTGCAAGGTAATGCAAACTGTAAAATCACGTAATCTCTTTGGCGGCGGTGGCCGGCGTGGAAATTTGCATTCTAACCGTGTTCGCGGAATTACACGCCGCGCCGATCGAATCCGCGTATCAAAACCCGGCCGGCCGTCGATCCTTGAATCGGCGGCGGCGGTGACGATTATTTCAGCCGCGGTGTTATCGGCGAATTTGAGATCCAGCGGGATTTTATCCCGCTCGAGGATAACGATAAACGCGCGCGGTATAATTTCTTGGAATTATTCCAAGCTGCCGACTTAACCCGTTAACAACGGACGTTACGTTGACGTTGTGTTTCTTTCGATTCGGTTCGTTTAGGTTACGTTCGTCGAAGTCGTTTGTCCCCCTTCTCAAAGAAAATTTCATACTACCTTCCCTTTTTACCTCCTCTCGAGTGAATTTCGTAATTTCATGGAAATTTGGAGGGATTAGAAATGTCTAAAGCAAGGTAATGCGTTCCAACACCCTTGAGATCCAACATCCCACGGCAATATTACGAATTTGAAATTCCGCTTGCGTGACATCACGCGGCTGGGATTTTTTTACGCGTGCGATCTCGTGCCATAAATACAGAAGTGCGAGCCTCTCCAATTTCGTAAAAACATTGCAATAAAGCGAAATATCACAATGGTGGCGTTTCATCTCGGCGAGTGAATTTCCCAAAATTTACTCTGAAATGTCAATTTAACAAAGCGACACTGTCCTAATGTCCACAAACAATTTCGCGCATTTATGAAAGGCGAGTTTACCTCACGGTTCACCGCCAATTAACAATTTGACACCGGACAAACATTGTGCAAAAAGTTAAGCATCTCGCGAATCTTGAAAATTGAAACTCTCCGGGAAGAAATACACCCGTTTATGCGTGGATTCTAATTACGCTCAATGAGAATCGCGTGAATAAAGTCTGTCGGTAGGAAAGAAACGTTGATGTAAGTTACAAAAATAATTTGCACATAGTTTAACAAAAAAAATAATAATAATAATGATAATGATGACGTTTCAGAAAACAAAAGTAAATCTTATTCAAAACGATCAATCTTCTCATTTCAATTGGCACAAACTCATTATCCTCGTCGCTTGAAATATTTGCAAGTTAGACGTTTTCGTTTTTTATTGTTAATGCTGATCTTTTCTTATCAGTGTTGCCGCATTCTGCGATAAAAATTCTAGGAAAATACATTTTCTGCGTAAAAAAGAGACTTCTGTGTAAAAAAAGAAAAAAAAGTGCCTTCGCGTAAATGTACGTTCGATATCGGTAGATAATAACATTCGCGACGACAGCGAGAGACTCGTCCAGTGTGGAACAGGTGACGAAAAGAAGCGTGAAATATTATGTCTTATTATTTTTCAGGCAGTTGTCAGGGAACTAAACAGACTGGGAATGCTAGTGGATCTCTCTCATGTCTCGACGAGGACCATGAGGACGGCCCTGCAGACGACGAGGGCACCGGTGATTTTCTCTCACAGTGCTGCCAGGGCACTCTGCAATTCCACTAGAAACGTGCCAGACGACGTGCTTAGAAATCTGGTGAGTTCTCCCCGCCGTGCAACCACACCGACGTGGAAAAGTTACGAAATGTATGGAAATGCGATAGGATAGTGCGGCAAGGTTAAGCCAATTTCGATATTCGATCAGATGAGAACAGGTTATGCGCCCCCCCCCCCCCCCCCCCCCCCCGCTCCCGGAGGTTTCCACGGGATTGAACATCGGTACAAAATGCCTTCTTCCAGCTGAATTCAATTCTTCTCGACCGTAACTTTTAAACAACGACAGATGTGGTATCGGAACAAACGTGCACGTACGATGGAATAAAAAGCCTAGAGACGGATATGGTATGGCTGTCGTATAACGTTTACAAGCAGCTTTTCAGTAATAATTTTTCAGTCGTAGAACGTCGTTGTTCGAGAAGACAAACTATAATGTCGACGGTAGAATGAGCTGTGACGTGATTTTCGGTGGTGGTAGCGAGCTCGTAACAAGCTTGCCAGCCCTTGACGAAAGTTATACCCCGAAAGTAACCGATCGTTACAGCGTTAGGTTTCGCGTTATCGATAAGGAACAAGCAGGAATTCGGAACCTCCGGCTGAAATATTCAACTCTAACTTTCCTACTCTCCTCGGCTATACCCAACAGCTTGCGACGCTGAATTTCACCGCTTTGACGCATGACTGAAAATTGATTTCTCTCTCTAAAGTAGAGTTCACGATCTAACAAACGTTGTTTACGTTCCCTCTTGCGAAATTTTCCTTCGAGACACAACAGACGAGGACTTTTAACGTTTAAAGAAGACAAGCGATGATAAAGTGAACGTCAGAAATGAGCCATCGCAGGAAATATTTTTCTATATAAATTTGAAGATGTTCTATATAAACGCGTGTTCTACTTCTATATAAATTTAGTTCATCAGTTTATGAACTAAACGTACGACTAAAATAGAGTTTACGATCCAACAACAACGTTATTTACATCCTTCCATGCAAAATTTTTCTTCCCCGCGAAATACAACCGAGGGTTTGTTTAAAGAAGACAAGCAATGATAGAGTAAAAGAGTCACTGCAGGAAGCATTCTTACATAAGCTATTTTTCTGCATAAATTTAGTTTCACTAGTTTGTGAACGCATGACATGAAAATTGATTTCTTTCTAGAATAGAGTTCACTGTCTAACAACATCATCTGCATCGTCCCTTTCAAAATTCTTCTTTACTTGTTTAACGCTGGCGGAGATGTTAAAGTAGAAAAAAGAGAAAAGAAAATAGAAAACTTTATAATACAACCTATGCTTTAAATCGTTTGCTGTAAAATACTCGACAAAAATTATAAATTGGCCATTTCGACCATTTTGGTGGCGTTAAAGAAGACAAACGATGATAAAGGCGAGCATTTTAATACAAGCCATATTTCCATAGAAATACGCGTTACTTCGAGATCCATTTACGAAACGGGCAGTCCGATAACTCGATAATCCCGGAGTTAGATCCCCTAACGGGCTGATGTGGCGCGGAAACATCAAACAGTCGGAGGAAACAGCACTTTCAATTAGCAGGAGCGAGCTAGCCGCGCGCGTGGAAAACGAACCAAGTAGAAGGGACGACGTCGCGTAAAAGCCAATTCGTGCCCGATTGCAGAAACGTACGTGCCACGAACGGAGAGGGGGCGAGATTGCAAAAAAAATCGCAGCGAGCGCAGCGTGCGTCGTAAACTAAGTAAGCAAGCAGAGCAGGAGCGCAGCGAGGGAGAAGGCGCGGCAAGGATTAAAACGAAAAGGAGAGAAATCGGGCGCGCACGATTCGCAGGTTCATCTGTAGGCGCCGCAACGCCTGGTGTAAGAGTGCATCCGCCAAGAGAGCACTCGACGCCGGCGCAAGTTGATGCAACGAGTGCAGCGGAACGCCGCGTGTTGCATACGAACGAAGCAACCGCGGGGGCGGTTGACCAGCCGCGGAAAATGTGCCAGACGTGGACGAAACTGTCTCCTCGTCGTCTATCTTTTTCACCGTCCGTCCATTATTTGTCACAATCGCGAGCTTCACAATACCGCGACCAGTGTAATTTCGGTAATCCTCGAGAGAGTAGGTGAAAATTTCAGGAATTTCAAGCCAGTCGAGCATTTTTTGCAGAAATTCTGTAGAACTTGTTACACGCTCCTCAATTACTATTGCATGATGAAATTTCGAGCCAGTCGAGCATTTTTTTTAGAAATTCTATAGAACTTGTTACATGTTCCTCAATTACTATTACACCATCAGATTTTCAGCTAGTCGAGCATTTTTTTTTAGAAATTCTGTCGAACTTGTTACATGCTCCTCAATTACTATTACATCATTAGATTTCGAGCCAGTCGAGCATTTTTTTAGAAATTCTATAGAACTTGTTACATGTTCCTCGATTACTATTATACCATCAGATTTCCAGCTAGTCGAGCATTTTTTTCAGAAATTCTGTAGAACCTGTTACATTCTCCTCAATTACTATTACATCATTAGATTTCGAGCCAGTCAAGCATTTTTTTTAGAAATTTTATAGGACTTGTTACATGTTCCTCGATTACTATTACCCCATCAGATTTCGAACTAGTCGAGCATTTTTTTTAGAAATTCTGTAGAACTTGTTACACGCTCCTCAATTACTATTGCACCATTAGATTTCAAGCCAGTCGAACATTTTTTTAGAAATTCTATAGAACTTGTTACATTCTCAATTACTGTTACATCCTCAATTACTATTACATCATTAAATTTCGAGCCAATCGAGCATTTTTTTAGAAATTCTATAGAACTTGTTACATGTCCCTCAATTACTATTACCCCATCAGATTTCGAGCTAGTCGAGCATTTTTTTTAGAAATTCTGTAGAACTTATTACATTCTCCTCAATTACTATTACATCATTAGATTTCGAGCCAATCGAGCATTTTTTTAGAAATTCTATAGAACTTGTCCCTCAATTACTATTACCCCATCAGATTTCGAGCTAGTCGAGCATTTTTTTTAGAAATTCTGTAGAACTTGTTACATTCTCCTCAATTACTATTGCACCATTAGATTTCAAGCCAGTCGGACATTTTTTTAGAAATTCTGTAGAACTTGTTACATGCTTCTCAATTACTCTTGCACCATTAGATTTCAACCAGTCGAGCATTTTTTTAGAAATTCTGTAGAACTTGTTACATTCTCTTCAATTACTATTGCACCATTAGATTTCAAGTCAGTCGAACATTTTTTTAGAAATTCTATAGGACTTGTTTGCTTCTCAATTATTATTACATCATTAGATTTCAAGCCAGTCGAGCATTTTTTTTAGCAATTCTATAGGACTTGTTACATTCTCCTCAATTACTATTGCACCATCAGATTTCCAGAATATCCGAAGCAAAATTTGAAAATTTACGACGTAAAGACAATTGGTTCTTAACGAGCTAATGTAATAAATAAAATGTGTAATATATAATATAAATGTGTAATAATAAATATTGACAATTGAAAGAGGGAAGAATTTTGAAACGTTTGAAACTTTTCGTTTCATTACTTTTACAGTACGTACTGATTGACACTGTACACACGTGATAACACACGTGTGTGCACATTTTCTTCTTGTACGCACTGTTAACAGAATATACGAGCGTGGCGACCGACATAAAAGTTCTAGTTTTACGGTTACCAGTCTTTCGACGTCTCGTCGGGGGAACTAAGCGTATATATTTTACCGAGAGCAATGAATTTATTCCGAATGTTTTCCCTGCGCCATGAAATATACAACGTCGTATAATTTTGAAAAATTCCGCTGCTGTTTTTACGCACGCTGACTGTTCAGCAATCGCGGAAATTTAGTCTAATATGTCAGTAACGAATGGAAAAGTTTATAAAACACTCAAAGGTTCGGAAACTTTGAGAACTTTAAGTGTAAATATAACTGGGACGTTTTTAATTTAAAATTAAAAATTGCCTCTAAAAATTTTGCAGCCATTCGGACATCACGTTCTTCTTTTTTCTTTTTTCGTTCAAATGTTCCAGCAATGTCGCCGAAAGTCCGCCGAAAATCACGGCCCTCGCGCGCAAAAAAAAAAAAAAAAAAAGAAAAAACAAGAGGGAAATAATTCAGTTTGAGCGTAAATACGGTAGCAGATAAAATTGTTAGCGAGCGTTTGTGATGTAATCCGTGCTTAACCCAGTGGCCGTCGTCGTAGCTTTTTAGGTCGGTCGATGAATTTTAACGTTTTAGTTACAGTTTTCCGACTGCCACGCCGAAAGTTACCGGAACAACGAGTCGAGTTTAATCCCCTTTTCGGAACAAGTGCACGTTGTTCGCGCGCATTTCAACGCCGAATTATAAATTTGAAAAAACCCACGTAAACTGCGAAAATCAATTATAACGCGCCGGTCTCGCGTTTTGAAACTGATGCAAGTTACAAGCTCTCAATCTCCCTCGACTTAAAATTATTTGTACTCCACTCTTGTATCACAGTCTCGAATCACGAAATAACACTCGTGTCTGGATATAATGAAAAAAAAAAAAAAAAAGCAAACGACAGACAAATCACAGTCTCGAGTTACGAAATAACGCTCGTGTCTAAATGGAAGAAAAAACCAAAAAAAAAAAAAAAAATAGCAAACGAGCAACAGTCCAATTAGTCGAAACAGACAAAAATCGTCTATCCGCTGGATATCAAAAAATGCCTTTTTCATCGTCGTCCGGAAGGTGATTGATTTACCTTCCAGTCGAAAAGCACGCTGCACGAAAATATCCCGCGAATATTCCTAACCGTTCCATCCGTTTTGATCAACTGCTCGCGAACGTTGGCCAACGAAGAGATTATTTGGTTTTAGGTCAGCAAACACGGGGCTAGAACCAGGTCGGGTGGTTCGGAAAGTTCAGGGTTGACCTCGGCCAGCCTCGTTCCAGTGGGTTTTGATGAAAAATACGTAACGCGCCTCTTTCTCTGTTGCTCTCTTTCTCTATCTCTCTCTTGTTTCTTGACTGAAATTCGAAAACCGATGCGGTCGAGCGGCTGGAACTTGACGGCGAGGAAAACGTAGGAGGCTCGCGTCGTCGCGCCGGGTTCAATGTGTCGAGTCCGTGCAAACGAATCGAGACACAGAGAGAGAGAAAGCACCACCGCACTTGTGAAAAACGGGAGGGAAATTCGAAGCGAACCAAGAGGATATATCCAGGGCAGAGAGTACTGTGTTGAACGTGTGGCGCGCGGAATTCGCGCTTGGGATAATGGCGGGAAAATGTCGCGGGGGATACTCGTGTAAAATAATATACGAGCTGGGTCAATGAGGCTGGCAAAAAATAGTCCTCTGCAGAGGATCCCGTTGGATTAAATTGGGATCACGATACGCGAAGGCGGATGATTCATCTGACGGAGAAAGTCGGCCGGCCAATGAGAACGTACAATCTGTTTTTTTTATAAAGCGTTTCGCCGCGTGCGCCGTGAACACACTTGGGAGAGACAATATAACTTTATATATATATATATATAATTTAATATAAATTAAATAAAAATATATTTTAGTAATAATCAAAAATTAATAATAGTTAAAATTATTAATAGTTAAAAGTAATGAAAGTGAATTTTTTAAAAAATAAATAAGTAAAATTTATTTTGTACCTTTTGTATCAGGGTTAATTAATTTATTTTAACAATTTTAATTATCTCAAAAGTAAATGATTCAAATAAACATATATATATATTATTTTTTTTTGTAAAATGAAAAAAATAAATATATATTTAGAAATTAAATATTTGTCGTATTTATCAATATCTAGTTTTTTTTAAGTAAATTTAATTTATATATAATATAAATTATATATATTTATATATAATCTCTCTCTTTCTCTTTTTTTCTCTATTAATTAGACTGAAATTTTATTTAGATTCTAGATTCTGTCTCTGTCTCTCGTAGAGAGATGGATGCAGTGAAGGGAAGTCAGCCAGATCTGCTATAAAATATAAATATCATATAAGTACCTAGTCGCTAGTAGACCTCGATGTCGTTGCGACATTAAATCTGCACCAAAAGAGGAAAAAAAAGCTGAAATGCCGTGCGAATAAATTAGCGAAATTAGACACTCTCGATCGAAAGGAGTCCAAAATGGTCTCAGCGACAATTCACGCGCTTTCGTTCCGCCTTGGCCGAGATCACCGCAATTACTGTATTCGTAAGTGATTCCGCATTAACGACACAACACTGGGCAAACTAAGCGATTAAGCCTGGGCGTGTAAAGCACGATTAAAATTTAATCCGATCGCTGGCCGGCCCTTGCCAATCACCGATGCCAAAATGACAATTATCTTGCATCGATGCTTCGAGCTAATCCGTCGGATCAAACTTCAGACGAGAACAGTGCTTTATCTATGTGTTATATTTCATTTAGCTATCCCGCGTGACAATTATTCATTATTCATTTCCCCCTTTTGTACATGGGAAATTCTTTTCGGAAGATTCATCAACCGCGTGCGCGAGTCGTTGAAGCAACTCTGTGTGACGATGCCGAAGAGTTCGTCTGTCGAATGAAAACGTTTCATTCGATTCAAGATAAAGGATTTATATATTATACCAAAATCGGTAGACGGTGGATTTTTAAGACGTAAGCGTGCGTGAGAGCACACCAAAGCAGAGCAAAGGCATCCCAAAGTTTCCTTCGTTTCGAGTTAACTACATTCGCAAAAAAAGAAAAGGAAAAAAAAAAAAAAAAAAGAAATCACAGTCGAGTATGAAGGAACGAACAATGTCTGCCCGCTGCTCCAATTAGCCACCACTGCGAATTGTATCTTTATGAGGGTGAATCAAGGTGTTTCTTATTTGCTCCACCGGTGCAATCAATACTAGCTGGAAGCAACAAGGGGATGAGTTACACCAATCAGAGGGCGAACGATGGCCTGTCTGGCAACATGTTATTAGCTGTGCCACACTGCTGCCCCAATTAACGTTGGCTACCACATAGTTTAAGTCAGGTCAGGTATCGGCTAGACAGGCAGGGCATTCGGCATTGTCTCTCCTCCCTCGATTGGCACATTCAGTAATTTTCGATAGGGAGCGAAAGATAGAAAGAGGCACCGATAAAACTGGATGGCACATTGCGCGATAGCTCCGAACGTTCCCGGCTAATCGAAACGGATAAACATCGGTCTTGCACCGCTATACGGTGTTCTTTCGATTTGTATCGAGCAATTCGGCATTGACGGATTCTCCGTGTCAGGTGGAGAGAGGGAGCTACGCCTCGCGCCGGGATTGTTGAGGTTAGGAAGCAACGTCGGCGTAGAAAAATGGAGAAAATTAGAGCGGCGGCTCTGCTATAAAATAGAAAGGCTTCTTGCCACGGCTCTTTCGTTCCAATTAGGATACACGGAATTATTACAGTGGAATCTACATTATGCAAATGAATAGGGGGAGAGCGTATGGTGCCTTTGAATAATTTGAACCGCAACGCTAATCTTAACATACGCGAACAAACGTAAATTCCACGTATAAATCCAGCTTACGCTGCTAGATTATTGGCGAACGTTGCAACTCGACGTTGGATAGATTGAACGAATATTCGTGTAGAATAATTCGTGAAGAAAGTAAAATAAACTTTGAATTATAAAGACGTCGATGTTTCCAGCGACGGCGAAATTCGAGAAAGGAAAATTCAGAAGCCCGGGGGAACACGACGAAGGCTTTTGTCGACATCCGAGAGGAACGCGTCGCGACGTTAAATGTTTCATGGAATTCCGAGTCAATCGTTCGAAAATCCTAGCACGCGAGCTAGGGGAATATGATTTATAGCAGTTGGCGATATTAAAATTTCAACGTGGCGGAGAAGCGAAATTGCATTCCCCGCGAGTAAGTTTACGATTTCTTCGAATTTTATCGGGCGAGCGGCTGACCGCGGGATCGTGTCGTTCGTTTGCCGAAGAAACGACGCGACTCTGGCGAAAGGAAAACGTCCCGAAAAAATCATAAATTTGAAGAACTGGAAGATAAAGGGATGAGAAAGTGCTTCTACAAATTTCTACAGCTATGAATACAACATTTGGCTCGAACCTATGATCGAATCGCTGAATGAATGAACTTTTTCTCAATAATTCGCAAGTTAATAACAACAATCGGACATTTGCATTCAAGCGTTATAATTTTCTCACAAGGCAATAAAAATGCCATAAAATTTCCGGAGGTGGTGAAATAAGCGAAATCGTAAACTTTTTTGCAAACGTAACTATGATTTCTTCTCTAGCCGACACAGTGTCGAGTAGAACGCGAAAGAGAAAGATGTCACGGCTCCCTATTTTTTTGCCAGAGGGCGGTCGTAAGAATGGGAACATGAAGGCAAGTGGAAACAGACGATTCTTATGGCAGCGGAAATGTTCTCGGTCGTCTTTCGAAAAACGACTTTGGGACGAGATCGATATGGAAAGATAGAAATGCCCCCGGCGGGCTCGGCCAGGGCTCATCGAATTTCAATGTGCGTTCCCAAGTGCGCCGCCACGAATCGCAACTTTTTTAATATCGGCCGACCGGCGTAGAGAACATTCGAATCGCGGATTAAAGCGGAGGGAATCGTAAACCGCGAATCGATGCCGAGCCTTGTTGCTTTGTGCGACTTTCGAGAACGACGCGAGCGAAGCTTATGTGCGTACACAGGGTGGAAAGGAAAGTTTGTCCGTGATCTTTGAATTTCAACATGAAAAAAGAAATTTTTTCCTACATTCTGTATTCTACTCGTCACGAGGATGAAACTTTTTCAAGAAACCAGTCCTTTTGAAAGATGGCAAAACTAACCTAATCATTTAACACTGTGGACACGTACGTCCTAACAGCGACTTTATGATTCTGGACGCGTGGAAGTCTATATTACGTAATGTTTATATTTCGAATAATGTTAACAGTTGGTTTTATTATTTGGTTATTTAGGCTCACACTGATGCTACAACTATGATGAATCAAACGTTAGTGAAACCTACGAAAATTACGCAATACAGACATCCACGCGTTCAGAACCATAAAGTCGCTGTTAGAACGCACGCGTCTGTAACGTTAAATGATTAAGAAACTTTTTTGGTTGCGATCTATGGTTCCTTGAAAAAGTTTTACCTTCGTGATGAGTAGAATACAATACAAAAAAAAAAAAGAAAAAATGATTTTGAAAGTCAATTTTGTGGCAGGTTTTTTTTACAAAGATGTAGAATTCATCTATGATAGTCACGGACAAACTTTTCTTTCCACCCTGTACATGTGTGGTTTACGTAGCTTTAGCTGGAAAGATCCTGCCAGCAAATGGGAAGTAAAATTTTGAAAAATGGATGAATCTCCCTTTGACTGAATCGCTTTTTACAACACGCGGGGATTATGTAAGGTCCGATTTCATCCTCGGTCCACCTACAAAGACTACTAGGAAATAATTAAAACCTTCAAAAATTTAACTTGCACTCTGAAACGAAATGCTTGTAAATTTTTCCAAAAAAAAATGTCAGCCTACGTAAATAACGTCTCTCCAGGCCAGAGTTACCATTTATTCCGAAAATACCGTGGAACATTATCAACTGCCAGTTGCTAGCTAAATGATATATTTTAAATTATGACGTTTTTACAGAATATATTTTTTAAATTATGAAGTTCTGTGACAGGAGAAACGAAACAAGAAGAAATGTTTTCAAAGCACAATGGAAACTGGTAAATTCAATGGCTTCGCATTGAAAATGAATGGCAAATGAAATGCACATTCTTTGCTCTATCCTGCGCGATTTTACGATCGCTTCCCTTTCGCGCGGATAACATTCTGAATTACATCCTGGTATGTCTAATTGAAAAATCAACGTGTCTGTTCACAGGCTAAAAATGGCGGGGTGGCAATGGTTCCGTTTTATACATATTTCATCACGTGCAACAGTACAGCCACCATAAAGGACGTTATTGGTACGTAGAGTCATCATCGATATATATATATATATGTATAAACCAATAAACTTTGAAATCCTTTTTGTTAAGATTTTAATAAAGATATCGTCGATCTTACGAAAACACTTCGTTTTTAAAAAATTTCATAATTTGACAAATTTTCACTGTACAAGTTTCGCTATAACTTCACAAATAATCGCTACGTGTTTCATCGAATTAAAAAATTATTCGACTTGAAACGGCGCAAATTGAATCGTCGTTTCTTTCTTGGTGAATCGCGTGAAAAGCAACAAATGCCAGAACGCGATGGCTTGCACCGGTAGATCGGTAAAACGCATTATTCGTATTCGAGCCGAACAATGATTCGTTTCTTCCGTTTCGTGTCCGGCCGTGTCCGCGTAAATTAACGTGCAACTGACTGGCACGCGCGCCGATGGGACTAATTAACAATCAGAACAGAAACGCGCGCGTTTTATTCGGGGATCGAGTAACGGGTAATGACGGTGCAGGTTCTCTGGAATAATAAAATCAACATTTTTAAACGACACCGCACGACCGAGTTTATCAGGGACGACCATGCTGTTTCAGCACACATCAATCACATTCGAAAGGTGGCGGGGATCGATCACGTTGGAATAGGAGCTGGCTTCGACGGGATAAATTTGTAATTATCCTTCGAGTATCCTCGGTACAACGCGCATTCAGAGAATGCTCAATGAAGCAATTACCAATTGCGTTTATGGAGGTGGGAGAGAGAGGAAGAGAGAGCGAGAGAGAGACACACATACACACACAATTCGCTGCCGCTGCACAATGAACACTTACAATTAGACGAACGCGTAAAAACGATTCGTAAAACTGCTTCCATTGATGCCGAGACGGCGGCTCGAGCGAAATTTCGTACGAAATTTCGTCTATCGTCGAACGTCTGTTCTCTGAATGGCGCGATTCATCGTCGACCGTCCAAGCAAATTATTGTTGGCGATTATCGTTTCTTTTCAGTACTCCCACCGGCTTGGAGGATGTCTCCAGGTATCCGCAGCTATTGGCTACACTGCTCGAGGATCCAACATGGACGGAGGAAGACATTAAAAAGCTAGCTGGCCTCAATTTGTTGAGGGTGTTCGCGAAGGTCGAGCAGGTGAGTTCACTTCCTCAGTTTGACGTATACTCAGATGGACGTTGACGAAGAGATAAAACAAACTTTCTGTTCGTTTGCAAGTATAACAACCGATATTCTAGTTATTGTACACTTGTAACCATTTATTACTGTTGCCTGTAACTCTTATAAGACTATAAGATTATAAGGAATAAAAAAAGTCCTTACTATGCCAGTAGATTATACGAATGGAAATAAGAAAAAGATGTCACGTGAACATGTACTCAAAAATTCTTCGTTAAAGAACTATAACGAGAGTTTGAAATAACAACGTAATAAGTTCATGCTTGCAATGCCTAAATCAATGTTAGGATAGGTAGAGGATGACCAATTCCTTGGCCTCCAAAGTCACCAGACCTCGCGCCATTGAAAATTTTACTTGCGGGAAATGTTAAGGGAAATATAAAGATTCACCACATGAAAGTTAATACGCGTGAATAATTAGATGAAGATTCAATTTCTGACAGGTGACAGAAGCCTGTATTTGTAAAAATGGAGCTAACGTAACGTAACGTAAACGTCATCGACTCTTGTTTCGAATTTTCGTTGTGGCTCCTTGACGCTGGTCGAAATGGCCAGTTTTTAAATTTTTCACAATAACTTTGCGTAACTTACAATGTCGCGTTTTTAAAAGACTCGAATGACACTTGTAAAAAACGATACGAATAAAATGGTTCGTGTCCATTATCGTGTTATAAACCTTTCCCTATTCCTTTCTTTCGTTCAATTTTTATACTTTTACAGTCCTTTACATTTCGTTGGTCTTATTTTCACTCGTAGAATCTACCAAAGGCAAAGTCATGCCATGGAGAAAGTGCAGGAACAGCGTGTATCTACTCTAAATTTGCTCTCAATTCGATGAAAGGTCGGTGATAAAAATGAAGGAAATGAAATTCCAGGTGCGCGACGAGTGGCACAGGGCGGCGGTACTGCCAGTGGAGAAGATCAGTCCGCCAGACAACTCCGCCTGTGTCTACGGAGCGTCTTGATCTTCTTTGAGGACATTCACGGCAGGATTCCTCGACTTTCTACGATCGCCGAAGATTCGACACGTCTCATGGAACTACAGGACCCTGTAAACGTGCGGACTGGATCAAGCTGAATGATCGCCTCTCCCGGTGTGATAACATCTTTTCGTGTTTCCCTGGGAAGCCCGATCGCGCCTTATGAAAAATGAAAAATTGCGCAAGAGCGTTCCATCTGATAGAAGAACTGATAGAAGGTCGAGGCCACGTGCTTGAACGATCATCTTCAGGACAAGTTCAATCTTCTTTCCTTATTCTTCCCTCTTTCCTTACGTTCGTTCTCTTCTTTTCACTCGACGTACATACGGTCGTCAAACCAAATGTCGTGCGATTGCAATTCCTTTTTCTTCGTTTTCTTTTCTTTTTTTTTTTTCTTTTTCCTTTTTGTTGATAAACTGGTAATTTCTGAGGAACGTTATACATGACGACAAAACGAACTATCTTGCTCTCCATATTGTTGTTGCAGTCGAACGAACATATCTATGCAACTATGTTGATTTGCTGCTATTTTAATAGCTGGATACGTCCGTCCATACTTTCAAGCAGGCTCGTTGAGAATCTCCTTCCTTGGTTTGGTTCCTTGCCGATCGATCGCATCCAATTTCGAAATCAGCTTTTCTCGATATTACGCGAGAATTCATAGAACCGTGACAGACCACGTTGCGAGAGCTTTTATTCCGTTTTGTTCCAACGCTGTTGTAACGTCACGAAACTGTTGAAATTTATGGGAACAGAAATATATTTAACAAAAGCCCAAGTCGTAATGATCAACGCGACTATATAACGTCTACGTAAAGGTGTACCGTTCCACGGAAATCTGAACTCGTTCTGAAGATATTCATAGACGAATACAATTCGAGTATAAGCGTTAAGAAAAAAAAAAAGAAAAACAAGCGTTCCTGAATGAATAACTTATAATTCGACGCGGACAATCGAGGCGGCCGAGAATGCGCTTGCTGGATGAGAATTTATTTCGCGAACGAGGGAGAGATATGTTCTCTTCTGGGTATCGAGAACCGAAGACAGAATTCCGATAATGCTTTTCGATATTTCTACCTTGGGATAATTATGTAAGATCTCAAGCGACGGATACCAGGCGGCACGCGTTCAAACGTCGATCGATCGATCACGAATTTAACGATGAATCTCGTTCGATTCGTTTTCATTTTCATTTTCATTTTCATTTCGTCTTTCGTTTTCGCAACTGCGTGACGTTTGTATAAACCGATTGTATAAAACAGACGAGATTTTTAAGTATTGCAGGTAAATATTATACAGGTTGAACAAAAAAAAAGGATTCGCAACATCTAGAGTAGATATTACTCGCCATGGAATATGAAAAAAGAAAGTCTCAACAAGCATGGATATTAGTCGAAAAATTAATAATCTCAAATCAGTAAAACGATTTTTTGTTTCAGTTGAGATTCGTGTGAAAAAGTTGGAACCTAATCTAACCTAATCTAACCTAAACTTTCTGTAATCAGAGAAGGAAGTAATTACAAGTTAGGATAATAAAAATCGTTTGTGACTTTGAAACTGTTAATCTTTCGACCCACGTTTATTAGAATCTTTTTCAGATTTCGACGAGTATCTACTCTAGAAGTTACGAACACCTTCTTTCTATTCACCCTGTTCACATTCCTTGAGGAATATCTTTGTCTTTCTTTTCTCCCCCTTTTTTAATTTTTTTTTTAATATAAACGAGATCGAGCGAATTTTGTCCTTGTAAACAAACACGATTAAAATAATCGTTTGAACGCTTGCTCCATGTCGGCTCAACAAGTGCGCTTAAGACACCAAGGAATTAAATAAAGGAAAACTGAAGAAAACAGAGGAAAGGGAAGAAGGGAAAGGTGAGAAAACGAGAGAGGAGCTAGAAAAATCGACGATCGAGGATGTAATGAAACTTTTGTAACGTTTAACTAGAAAATTTTCAAACCAGGTCGTACAAACCGATATTTACGTACATATATTCGATCGTTTCAAGCTTTTAGAGTTTCTACATTTACAAGTACGAGCAGAGAACCTTATGTCACACATAGTGTTCGTCACCGTTTCGAGACCATTTCAGAATCGAAAGACTCGTTTCTCGTCACTCTTGTTGAATGTCTCCAAAACCTCCGACTGATATCCTCAAGACAGTTCTCATAGCGTTTATTGTAACGAGGCTTCTATTACGCGATGCATGACGCAATTATTTCACGCAATCTGCTTGTTCGTTTGTATGCGAAACACCCTGACAGAGAGCTGCGAGAATCCGGGTATAACACAGATAATATTCGAATATCATCGTAAAAAAGATATAGTCGGGCGTCAACTTGTAAAAATTATTGAACGTTTCAGTCAACAGATCGATCGCGATTGAAAGAAATTGGGAGGAACGATTCGTCGGAAAATTCCGAACGATTCGATAGCTTTATCGATTATTATTTAAATATCGATTATTAATTGTTAATGGTTGACCGCGAACGTTAACCTTCGATCGTTAGTTTTCAATCAAAGTTTAATTAACATTCAGATTTAATATAATACTGTTGATTGAAGTTGATTGTCACTGGATTCGAAATTTCATTCGATCGACTATTCTGATCGTTAATTGCGACTGTACCATCTGCGTTGAGTAAAAGTTTGCTCGTTGATCGTCGTGACCGACGGGAAAGTAAATTTGGATTTCAATTAAACTGTACGTACGTGCCAAATGCATCTTTATGCCTAATAGCGTAAGTTTCTTTTAAACTCAGCTGGAATGGAACAGCGTCGGATTACATTGAATTGACTTTGCAACTCCACAGGGATCTTTTCTGTTTTATTAAAATATTCGATATATTCAAATATTGTCTCAAAACGAAAAAACGGATCGGATTGGCAGGATCTATTAATTACGCTCACCGATACGAAACACTGCCAAGCAAACACTTTGTACCGAACCACATTGTACCACGCCAGAAGCGAGAAAATAATGTAATTTGCCAAAGTCCCTTTTCGACATAGTAGCCATCGAGACAAGTAGCAATAAACCTTCGTAGCCGGTAAATCGAAATAAAATGAAGCCGAGAGAAGAAAAAAAGGAAAAGAGAGAGAGAGAGAGAGAGAGAGAGAGAGAGAGAGAGAGAAAAACACTTCACTCTAGCGTGAGGAAAAAAAAGAAAAATACTTTTTACATATCTAGAGAAGGGAAGCTCTTTTTTTGTTTTTGCTTTTGTTTTCTTTATTTTCTTTTTTCGAAACTCGTATGTAAATTGAGATTGGAGACAGCGAGCGACTACCGAACGAATGCTGTTTACCGAGAATAGAAAAAGCTGAGCTGCGAAAGCGAAACATTCGGGGAATGCTGTCGGATCGATTGTTATTATTATTATTATTATTATTACTATTGCAGACACTGTAAATATGATGTAACATCAAATATTACACCGATTTCCCTAGCGTTCATTCGACGAAATTCTCGCAGGCATCTTTGATTTTCCTTGAGTGAGAAACGATGAAAAACGTTGTTTCTTTTTTCCACTTTTCAAAGTCGACGTATGTAATGTCACACGTGATAAGTATCGCGATAGATAGACAGCGAAAGAGAGAGGAGAGAGAGGAAGGGAGGGGGGAGGGGGGGAGAAATGATACCGAAAACTAGCGTAGACTGTCCTAGCTTGTACGAACATTTCGACATTTCTTACTTTTTTCCGACGTGGGGAACGCGTACGAGAAATTTTTAGGTACCTGTAATTAACATTGTTAACGACTATATATATATATATATATATTATATACATATATTATATAAATGAAACCAAGGCGCCTTCGACGACTCGCAGCACCATTCTACGAACCTTTGATAGAAGATCCGAACTCGTGGAGGAAAGATTAACGATAATTCGTTCTGCTATTAAACCGTTCCCTCATTAATCACGTTTGCTTTGTCGAAGAAAAAAAAAAGAAAGAAAAAAAACGCGAGATCCATATTTCGTTCCCATTTTACGCTTTTTTAAAGATTTTCTACGGCACGTCTCGAAGATCGTGCGAGAGTCTGAGAGAACTGATTTCTCTACGAAAACGAAAATTCGCAAAAAATTCGTTTCGACGATTGTTGAACGAGTGGCTCAGAGAAAGAATAGTACAAACGAAGAGACCTGTTCAGTTTGCGAAACCTGATGACTAGACAAGTGAGTAAACGAGACTCCAGCGGAGACGAATCTGCGTACGTTTATTTATTATTACGAGTGTTAATGAACGAGGCACGTCGTCAGACTACGTGTCTCAATAAAATAGCAGTTTTAGACGAATCTCTGCCCAATGTCACGCGTTCGTAGAAAATAACTTTCACACTGAGCCATTCACAAAACGCGTAGAACTACGTGTCGAGAAAGATATCAAGAACGACAATCGTTAATTACTTTTTACACGAAGCGAAAGGTCTAACGAGTACGATCGTTAGTGGAAGCTTTTTTTCCTCGAAGTAAAAGAAAAAAAGAAAAAAAAAAGAAAACAGAAAAAAAAGAAGAAGAAAGAAATACGTACGCTTGCGTTTCTCCTCGGCATTGACGAAGGATCGACGCAATTCCCGATCGACAAGCAGAATCTATTGTCTACCGATGCGAAGAGAAGAAAAAGAAAAAAGAAAAAAGAAAAAAAAAACGAGAGAAAGAGACAACCCTAGCGAGACAGAGCCAGGATCCTGTTGAATGAACTTTTTAGCAGCAATAACACTGATAACCGCCACGTAGTGAAACGATTAAGTAGCGTAAAAAGACCAATAGGACGATATTCACGATTTCTAATTCGTAAAGAGTAAGTCTAAGCACGTTAAAAAAAAAAAAAGAAAAAAAAAAAGTATTCATTGGGTCGATCGTTCGCGGAATACACCTCGCGTTTCCCCAGTGGGCGCAAAATTCCTTTCGAACGAAAGCGGAAAAGTAAACTATTTGATTTGACTTCTTTTCGCCAGTCTGTTCTATCGTTCTTCTTCTCGTGAAAAAAAAAAAAAAAAAGGAAAAGGAAAAAAGAAGGTTGAAAGGAGACGGAGCGTATCTCTCGAACGATCGACTCGACGGCAGTACCATTGCTCAATACCTGTACTCTTGATCGGGACACGCAAAACGGAAACAAGACTCGCTCTCTTGTGTTTTACGGTAGCGTTGCAACCACACGACTCATGGGATTAACTCAACACGTGTAGACAAAAAAAGAAAAAAGAAAAAAGAAAATGATACCGTTCTAGTTTCGTATAGCCGCAACGGTGTATTCTTTGTAAAAAAAAAAAAGCGGGGGGAGGGGAGGAGAGAGAGAAAGAGAGAAATTGAAGGAAGAGAGAAAGAGAGATCGCGATTTTTCCTTCGCGGGGGCGAAAGAAAAGGGAGAAGAGAGAAAACAAAGGAAGGAAGGTGGGAAGAGATTGAGAAAGGGATGAGGACTCGAAGCCGCGCGAGACGCCGGGAATAGATAATTTTCGAATCGACTCGCGTCGGGTGGGAAACTCTAGATAATCATTTCGAGGGTGCGTGAGTAACGTGTGCGAGCGGAAGAATGACAAATGGACAAACTACGGTTGAAAAAGCGAACGTTGTACAGTGAATATCGAGGAAAAGAAAAAAAAATATCGAACGAGTTGAAGGAAGTTACGACGTTTCCAGCGTTTCAAGAGGACCAAGTAAGCGAGTTGATTAATCGCACGTTTCCCTTTCTTCTCATGTTTTCTTTCCCTTTAATTTCAAACACTCACGTTTTGTCCATTTCGCGGGCATCCCCTCGAAAGGCTGGAAACATCGAGCGAAAACTGTTCGACGTGTTCATTTTCTATGAATCGAGTGGCGAAACGATCGAGCACGCATGCGTAGATGAACCTTCATTTTTCTGAACCGATTTAGCAAGGAAACAGAGGCCAAAATCAATTGTTCGTGTAAAGGGCGAAAGTAGAATGCGTTTGAACGTTAAAAGAGAGAGAGAGAGAGAGAGAGAGAGAGAGAGAGAGAGCGTGTGTCTGTGTGTGTGTGTGTGTGTGTGTGTGCGCGCGTGCGTGTGCGCGTAAGAAAGAAGAGAGACAGAAGAACCTTAGAAGATAAATCTTAACGTACATAACATAAACAACACACAACTGCCTAGAAACTCAGATTAATAATATTATAACTTACTATATTATATACAATTACAACCGACATGTCCAAACGCACAAAAGGGCAAGTTTGGCAAGACGAGACACGCGCGTGTAAATAGGATATATCGACGTGTAACCCGCAGATGTATATAACAGGGGATGATGTGCAGAGGAGTATGACGCAGTTTCGAAAGCGAGAGCCGAGCTCGAAACTTGCAGCAAAAGTTTCTGTCTGATATCGTTTCTGGCTGATGATTTTTCACTGAAATTCCTCGAGGGTGTTGTGACGACGCTGTTGCGACGACGTGGCCGTGGCCGAGAACGAGAAGAATTTCTCACAGCCGCCGTGCTAGAGAGAAGAGATGAAATCGAACGAAATTTGCAGAATTGTGTTTTCCTCGTTCGTTCGAGTTTAAGCGATTCCTCTTCAGAATTTTATTATGCTGAGTCGATATTTTCACCCCTCGAATGTTATTATCTTCGTTTGTCAAAAATTTCAACTCGGTTCGAAGAAGCCGTCAAGTTGCTTTCAAATGAAACGTGAATTTAATTTGATTCGATTCGTTTTCGAGAAGATCGGAAAACGCAACGCTGAGATACTTCGTTCGTTTTATCTGTTGTATTAAATGTCGAACGCTCGAGAAAACGCGTGTCAGATTCGAGGATTTTTTGATGGTTTAACGCCGGCTTCGACGCAATCGCGAGAAAGATACCTAGACCAGCAATCCATATGGAAAACGTACTGGGACGTTCTCCAATATATTAAAAGTTCACCCCTATGATATTTTTTTTTATGTTTCCTTCCCAATCCCTGTTTGAACTTTACTTGTCAATAAAGTGTTGTTTTCCCTGCATCACGTTTTATTATTATTTTCATTGACTCAACGAGTTAAAACCCATTGCGTTTGCAACGATGCTTTTCAATGAAAGAGAGAATAAAAGTGAATTGTCACTTCAGCGTTGAACAAATTATGCTTTCGATAGAATAAATGATGAAACGAATTCTCGAGCTATTCGACAGACACTGCACGCGAAGTGCATCTTTTTAGATGAATTTAAACTAATAAAAAGAGAGAATTTACGAAATAAAGGGGCAGTTATTTACGAGAGAACGCGCGCGAGAGAGAGAGAGAGAGAGAGAGAGAGAGAAAGAGGGAGAGAAAGAAAGATTGTAAAGAAAACGTATGATGATAAGGAAGAGAGAGAGAGAGAGAGAGAGAGAGAGAAAGCGTGGGAGAGAAAGGCGAGATGGAATGTATAGGTGATTATTAAAGAGACTATGAGAATTAAGATGATATAGAAAGTTTTAATAAATTAATTATTAACGCTACAAACAAGAGACACTATTGATACCTACTACCTAAGGAAAATAGTACGTTCACGAGCATATTATACGAGCAATTTACACCCTATCTTATACGCGATCATTCGATAATTTCGACACACGCGTACGTACACACACGTTCTACGAACACGAAACGAGAATAATACAGAATCCCGCGCGTAAATAAATGAATCTTCCCGTTCGGCCCAAAATTCGTACATATAGTTGCGAAGACTAAGTTACTTGCCACTCTACTTACCTACGTAAAAATTATATATTATATAAATAAATAAATAAAAAAAAAAAGAAACAAATATAGTGAATAATGAATGCAAAATTCGAAAGCGAACGTAAAAGGTGCATTTCTTTTAAAAAAAGAAACCGGTCGGGCCAATTTTTCACGAGTTCCACACACGTACACAAATACGCGCTCCAGCTGGCCGTGACGAATTTAGAAAAAATAAAAACCAGAAAGAAAAAGAGAGACAGAGAAAGAGAGAGGAGCATCCAAAAAAAAAACAAAGTGACACGTGATATTTATCGAGAGTTTCAATTTTCACCGACGAGTGCGTTGAAACGTCGGTATAAAGTTGGATTATAATTTTTAGGGACTTGGATTTGTTTAGGGACGTCGAGGGGAAACCCGCGGGAACCGATTTCGTTTCAATCGATCGTCGATAGACTCGCGTAAAAGTCGAACGTTAAAGTCGAATGATGTTTGTTAGAAGCTTTGGAGGCCAATCTCGCCACGCTTCGCGTATTTGTTTGGTCAGCTTCGTTCTGACAAGAAGCACGCGCGTTTCCATTTCGCTCGACACGTCCATTTCGTTTAACAGCTTTTGTTTAACAGCCCCGCGTGTCTGTCAGAAACACGCGTGTTGGTCCCAGCTCTGTGAAGTTGGACGATACCACCGAGTTTGACTGGAAAACCAAGCCCTCCCGCCGAAACAAATAAATCGGAAGTCCGTCTGGAAGAAGGTTCTTTCTTTCCCCCGCACGTTCGAGTCTCTCTATTGTGCGTCTCTCAACGCCGCGAACGAAAATTTGCGCGAGAATGGTCTCGAAGTTTCGGCAGAAACAGATTCGATTTTTTTAATCGTCGATCGTGTAATCGTGACAGTGCATGCTCGCGTGATTAAAAAGAAAAGCCAGGCGAATGAAGAGTTGAACTAATTTAACGGAACAGAGGCGAGAACAAGGGGCGATAGCGATGACAACGACGATGATTTTATCCATGTTAATCTAGAAACAGACATTGCTGGAACAATGATTTGTACGCCTTCTATGAAGGACCGTTAGGATACGTTATGTTACCTAATACTCGTAAGCACGCATTATCTAATAAACTAATTATTTACAAAACTAGCCGACAATTTCGCCAATTTATCGGCGAAAGAATCTCTTCATTTCTTTCTCCTCGAGAGTTCGTAAACGCGCCGGATATTCAACTTCTGCCGTCCAATCTTTCGTAAGGTGCTTCTCCCGAGAGAGGCCGAGTTTTTCTTCGTTGTAATAAACGTCGCGTAAAAATGACTAACACGTCGGGGCTGCTAAAGGGCTGCAAGAAGTAAGTAGACTGCTTTCACGAGCCAGTGGCCTGATCGACAATTTCTTGCCACGAGCGCGGTCCAAAGAGAAATGCAAGAATCGATAATGGAATATCGATTGGTAGAAGGATACGTAAGATTCCTTGAAAACATAGATAGGTAGATATTACGTCGAAGTTTTCGCGTCTGACACGACCGTGATCTACCGCGCCTTGTCAAATTGCAAAGATTTCTGACGTTCCAACGAGATGAAACAGAGAAGGATCGCAGTTTCCTCAAACTTCGGAAAGTTTTTAACGCAAGAAATGCTAAAGTTGAAACGAGAGCGTTCACGAGACACTCTCAAACGGCTAAAAATCAATAAAACCGAACAAGCTGCGGTCAAAATTTCCACCAAACTCGTAAAAAGTGCGCGAAAGAAGAAAAAGTCACAGTCTCAGATCGTCGAATTCGGCTGGTCAAAAATGCGAAAAAACCAAAAAGATTATTTCGTCCTCCGTTGCGCCCGGAAAAAAAGAGAGAAAGAAAGAAAGGAGATGGAGGCCAAAAAGAAGAAGAAAAGGAAGATGCAAAACAGCGTCCGACAGACACAATAGCACTCGTCAAATCGACGATAAGCGTCGACGATAGCCCGTCTCGCTCGCGACGAACAGCCGAGAAAGAGAGAGAGAGAGAGAGAGTGAGTGAGTGAGTGAGTAAGAGAGAGAGAGAGAGAGAGAGAGAGAGAGAAAAGGACGGGAGAACGAGAGCCGCGGATTCGTACAGCAGAGAGCTTGCAATATAACACATCGATCTGCGTTCGCGCAAGCGTGTTCCCGGCGTGTCTCGAGCTCGAGCAGATTTTCCCCCCGTGCCACCGTGTATAGGCCGTGACCGGGATACGATACCAACAGGTGATGCTGGAGGAGTAGAGAGACACTCCCTCGAGCGGCGTCGTTGATCGTCGTCCCCCGAGTCCTGATCCTGACGGTGATTTACTAGCGTTTTTCCAGCCGGTTCTCCGCCGTCCCGGGCCCCACGGTTTTCGGCCGACCACGAAACGTGTTCCATCCAGGGACGAACGAGGGACGACAAGGTTTTCGGGCATTAAACGGGAAAACTCGTCGAACGAAGGGAGTAGGAGGGACGGAGGATAGGAAGAAGGAGAAGAGAATCGTGGCAGTTGGAACGTCGACGATCGACGTCGCGTGTTTCATCGTCTAAATCGTCGCGCTATGATCTACGATTAGTGAAAGACAGTTCTCTTCCGTTTTCTCTTCTGTTTCCGTTACTCTCGTTTTGTTAACACGCTCCACGAGATCTCCTCTGTGTCTCCGATGACCGGTGAGAGACTATCGTTCTGATTAATATTTCCACGAGGATCGACCTTCTTCGTTCTAACGTTCCGAATTCGGACAAGTCCGACGAGCCTTGGCAATAGACCCGGAGGAACTTTGTGATCTTAAGCGCTGTCCACCTCGTGCTTTCTACGACCGAGTTCGAGAGTTGCGAGCGACGCGTGTCCCACGCGAGCAAGGGTGGTTGAAGCGGGGGGAGGGTGGGAACGGCTTCACGATCCGACGATGATCCGGTGGTGCAGATTTAGTGGCTTCCTTCGGCGACGAGACGCAGGACCGTGAAACACGATCGCGCTGCATTTCGACGGTATGGAAGCTGGCCGAGTGAAACAGTTTCGTTTGCCGATTCGTCCGAGGCCGGACGGCAGTCTCGTTGGAAGGCTGGAAGGATGAAAGGAAGCGCGAGAAGCTGAGAGAGAAGAAGGAAAAGAAGATTGAAAACGACCGCCGTGATCGATGAAAAAAGCAACTTTTGAGAATTTGGATTGTGATAAGAAGGAAGATCGTGAACATATCATCGGAGAGGAGGAAGAACTTATTTTGAGCGATTTTTCAAGGTATTTTTCAACATCTCGTCAAAGTAAGTAACTGTCGATGCGGAGATTTATCGATGTGCAGAAATTATTAACGATCGCTCTTCGAGTTTCAAAAATAGGTATAACTCGTGTTTGCACGTTCTTGTTAAAACACGAAACAACTTGTTCTCCCTTCTGTATCCCGATAGATTTCATCCGGAAAGAGATAAATTGGTGTCAGAACGTCAGAAAAATATCTAACAGAGTTTAAACTTGTTCAATCGAGATCGAAAAATTCGGAATCGAATAGAAAGGACAGAAGCGATGTGAGACGAAAATACGTATTCGTTTTTGTACAACAATTATGAATTGACGTACAGGGAGAAGGTATAGGCACGCAGCGAGAAATCATGAAAATACAATCGACGCAAACAGCATCTGTAAATTCGGGATGAACGTGCAAAATTGGAGCAATCGATTGCTAGTGGCAAATGACTCCGGCTACACTGATTGCGCTATGAATGTAATGAAATTCTCGTTCAATTTAATCTGCAATAAATTTGCTAAATAAAATCGAAGTGAAGCCCTTCGTGCCGGGCGAGACAAATTTCTCCACTGCGAAGAGAATTTTTTTACGTTTAAAAAACGCAACACTTTCAAACTGATTCAGAGATGGAGAGAGAGCGAGAGAGAAAATATACTGAATGGATTAATTACTGATGAATTAATTTCACTCTCAACGAAACGCAACATCGCGACATCGAGAAGAAAAAGAAACTTTGGATCTTTGAAAATAGCACGCTGCAACGTAATTAGAGTCGTTTCAGCGTGCAAACGAGCGTTATCCATTAAGAATAATCTGCAGAAGTGAATGAGCATCATTAAAAAGCTGGAGCTCCAAAACGTCGTGTCGAGTAACGCTGTTTGTTTCTCCCAAAAGTTGACTCGTCCCAGTTACGAAATTATCCCATTAACGAGCAAGGGTCGAATCGATAGCCCCCGAAATCGCGAGGCGAGAGGTCGGAAGCGAAGAGAAGAGAAGAGAAGAGAAGAGAAGAGATCGTTTCGATGAGGATGTTCATAGGGTACTCACGGACGGAACGACAGACCGAGCAGTCGCACGAATGAAATTTACGCGAGAGCTAATTGGCATTTGCTCGGTGGCTCGGCTCCGGCCCGGAATTAATTACGGAATTAGGGAGTCACCGTGAGAGGTTGAAGGGAACCTCGTTGAAATGACAAACGCGAGTCAAGGGCCACGATCTAAGTACGTTTCACGCTCGTCGGCCGAGCCTGTGGCCTCTCTTTCGCCCTGCGGGTGACTCGCCTGCACACGAACAAAAATAAAGCGCAGCCCCGTCGGCACGCGAGTCCGCCGACTATCGTCCCGTTGTCGTGAATTTCGCGATAGTTGCCTGTCTCCAGACAAGCGTGCGCGCTACGTTGAACGTGGTCGGCATTTCTGGCTGTTTGCGCGAATTTCCAAGGGAGAGAATGTCCGAAGATACGGTCGAGAACACCGGTCACTGAGAGGAGAGACGGGAAGAAGATGCGCGGATAACGTACGCCGAGCGGCAGGAAGGTGAGTGAGGAAAAAGGAAATTTCTTTTCGACTTCTCTTCGTCGAGAGCACGGACTTTGAAATTTGAAATTTGAAAATTCAACCACTTGCGCTGGCAACCGATTGCGGACCATAACGAGCGACCGAACCGTATACGATAATTCGTCGGTTTATTTTTGAACTCGTCGGTATGACAGGAATTACTGAGAGGTAATAAATTTATTATTTGCTTCGCCTATTTTGTTTGATTTGAATATTTAAGTATATTTAAGTATATATTTAAAACTGAGAAAGTATTACAATTTTGGAACAAAAAGTTCTCGACGTGCGTGGCACGTCATTCCAGCGCAAGAGGTCAATAGAGAACGAATAAATTTCGGGTGAAATTCTGGCAAGTTTGCGTTTCTTCGTAAGAAACTGAGGAAATAATTGATGATAAATTATTTACTACACACGATAGTTTACAAATTTAATTCAATTAAAATACTGGCAAGACTGCGTTTCTTCGTAAGAAATTGGAAATTATTGTTGCAATGTCAAATCGATTGTTTTTGAAATTCCTAAGAGAAGAGACAGACACGCGAGCAAATGTGCTTTGCGGATTTAATTTCATTAGAATTCTGACGAGTCTGCGTTTCTTCGTATGAAACTAAAGAAATAACCGTTGCAACGCCAAGTCGATTATTTTTAAAATTCTCAAGAGAACAGACACACGATCGACATAATTTACTTAAAATTTAATTTAATTTAATTAAAAGTCTCAACTTTAAATACAAATTAATTGGATACGTTTTGATACTCTAAAAAATTGAAAAAAATTGAAAATTTAGTGAAAATTGAAAATTAACACTAAAACTACCAAAATAGTCGTAATGATCAATTTGTAATTTTTCTCACGGATAATTTACAGACGTAAAACAGTGACTTTTAGAGAGATTTAAACGATTTTCTTGTAAAACGTATAAATAAAAACTCGTGTACTTGATTGTATTATAAAATTTCTTATTTCTTTTACTTTAACATCTCTGATGAAAATTTTACGCTTCAATCGCCGATAGTAATTGAAGCAGTGAATATTTCAAACTGTAATATAAATCTGCAGTCTACCTGGCAAATTTTTCTCTGCAAAAAATACTTGTCTTTTTTTCGCTATTATCAATTCGTCGATATCGCACGCGTGAAATATTACGTGTTCTTTATGCGCTAGCAGTACGAACCGAAGCTTGCATTATCTCTCTTTGAATTTCTTATCTCTCGTTCCACGCGAACGTTCTCTCGTGCGCGTCCCGTTACCGAGAAAGCACTTTCACGGGATAAAGTTTAATCACAAAAGCAATCCTGCTTTCTGCATATTAAAACACCGCCCAAGGGCGAATCCTTTTGCCCGCGGCTCTCGAGAACCGTTCGGCTATCGCAAATAATCTCGTAAATGGGCGAAACATCTTCTTTCGACGATGAAACATTCGAAAACACGAAGGGAGAAAGTTGCGGGGAATACCAAATTTTTCTTTCTTCTATTTTTCTTTTTTTTTTTTTTCTTTTTATCTTTCCTTTTGCCCCGATGAATTATTCAGAAGAACCACTCTCCTGTTGCCCGGAACAACCGCGGCCGAATTGAACAAAAGAGAAACGTGGCCGACGGTCGTGGTTATGCAAATGAAAACGGCTCGGTTCGATAGTTGCTGACAACCAATCCTCCACGACCGCTGGAATTCGTTATTTGTTTCAACTATGTTTCACATTTTTCCCTCGGGTCGAGTCGCGTTTCACAGCAGTTACAAAGCACATGCGTTTGAACTTTATCCGAGCATTTGTTGTTCTTTTTGTTTTACGATGAATCTCAATACCGAAATAGATTCGTTCGTGTCAAACGCGTTAAAATTTTATGGGAGATTCGTGGCAATATTTTAACAGATTTACGGCAGAAGATATTCTTAGACGTTCGTGTTTCTTTCCATCTTCGATCCTCCAGTTACATATATCCCTGTGTACGTTCAGCTCTCTTTGAATTTGAATATAAGAAAATGTCGAATAAATTTCGATATTTATACGTCAGAGGATGAACAAAAAATTATATATATATACAGGATGTTTCGTAACTTGTGGGACCCACTTCGGGAGCTGATTGTACGCCTAAAAATAATGAAAAGTCATATAAATATATGTCCTATCTGCCTTCGTTTATGAGATACAATGAATTTTATAAACAGAGCAAACACTAGTAAGCTAGTTTTACCAGGGATGGTATATTCAATTTTCATAATAATCATAATTGGGATGAAGAAAACCTACATGTTACTGTACATTCAAGACATCAACACCAGTTTAGTTTAAACGTATGGGCAGAAATAATTGATAAATTTTTAATTGGACCTTTTTTTCTTGATGGGAAACTAACAGGTACAAAGTACGTTGATTTTTTGAGCACGCGTTTACACGAAATATTAGAGGAAGTTCTAGTTCGATATTAGACTTCGTATGCGGTTTATGAATGATGGAGCTTCTCGCCGCACTTTAGCCGAGTGGCTAGGCAATATTTAAATCAACACTTTGCAAATAAATGGATTGGTCGTGGAGGTCCTATTGCATGGCCTGCTCGTTCTCCGGATTTGAATCC